CATTTGCTGAAAATCAGGCTGCAGGAAAGTGATAACAATGAAGGACATGCAATTATAACACTTAGGTATTTGACTTCAAAGTGAATATAGTAAAGGTACATTTAAAATGGATTAGAAACTTTTTTTCATGGCTGAGTAAATATTCTGTATAAACTGTTAGCATTTGGTTTGGCAGAACCTCCTGCCTGGCTGTAATAATATCACACCACTGGAAAAGGCTATAGTATACTATATATACTGTGCAGTACAAACCAGCACTAACTAACCAGCACTGGTTACTGTATTTGTTCTGCGCATTTTTGCCTTGGGGTTTATCAGTTCCATGTAAAAGTTTATAGATATAGTTGTTGAGGTGAAAAAGTGTTTTAATGACTCAAGTTTGAAAATAAGATGGAGTTACAAGCAAACCTGTAAAATGTTTTTTAATCAGATAAACACATTGAGCATACTGAAAACTGAGTCATTTTCACAGGCTCCGTGTGAATAAGACATTATTGTAAGTGGACTCGTGACATTCTGTTCAAAACAAATTAACAATGATAATTGAAGCAAAGGAGGCTGAATTTAAATACACACTAAAAAGTAGGAAAATATCAGATAACATAATCTTAACTTCAACAAAATGAAATGTGACAAATCAACATGCCTTTTTCTGTGGAAAACATATTGGCAATAATCAGCAACACATCTCTTAGTAGCAGTAAACTGAGTGAAAAAAGACAAACCTACAGTACCTTGATTAACAGCTTAATGAAAGTAGGATTACTCAATGGTCACATACTATGGCATTGAAATTATAACTGACACTCTAACTGTAATTTCCCCTCTGAGACAGGAATACTAATCCAGCACTAATCTGACAACCCATTCCTTCAGGTCACTGAGATGACTCTATGTCAATTTGTTTAAAAAAAATAGAGGGTACTTTAAAACTTCTAATAGCATGTTTAAAGTAATGTTTTTGCTACATTAAAATAAATTGCAAATGGCTATGTCATGCAAATAATATTGTTATTTAAAAAAAGGATTTAAACAAGATATATACATAGAATACTCAGCAATATACTGTACTGTAAATCTTTGCCATTTCAGTCTTTATTGGCTAATGGTCTGACAGTACCAATGCTATATCAGTGGTAATACAGTAAATATAGTCAATATCAGTTAATACTATCAGTAACAAATGCAGCGATGTGAGGGACTATATGAATGCAATCTTTCTTCATATTCTTAGTGTTAGTCTTAGTCTTATTGGTAGTAGGAGCAGTGGCAGTGACAGTGGCAGTAGTCAGACATACAAAGAACTAAACACACTCCCTTTACCTTAATCATATTTCCACAATAGAATTTACTCCTAATCTCCTAAATGTGCTACAAAAATCAAATGGCTATTTTGAAAATTCAATGATCTATTTAAACGTAAAGCTTCTGGGTTCTGGATGGATTAAATCACACATCTTGATTCTCGTCGCCTCATTTTCTGTTTTTATAATGCCAAATATGTTCATCTAAGATACAGCAGATGGTTGTCAAAAGAATCTTGTGCTCAGAATAATTGCTGCTCAATGATTAAATGCATCCAGCAATCAGAACAATAGAGAGGGAGAGCCAGGGGAGGGACCATCATTATTTATTACACTTCCACAAATTCAAAAAGTGCCTCAGAAAAAAAAAACTAACTGGTTTCCTTTTTTCAGCTTCAGCTTAACATATGTTCTAATTTATCAGAATTTATTACCTTTAATCCTCACAGGTTAGAAACAGAATGTTGGAATCTGCAAAAACTGGCCTTATAAGGGAAAACGTACAGGTACAGTAAAACAATAGAAAAGGTGATACTTTATATTGCAACTTTCCAAATGGTTTTGTTCTTTGTGAGCAATTGAATACAGTATCAGGAATAACTATACACATAATATATATTTATTTTAATGGAATTCATCTTGTTTTTTTAGAGAGATATATTAATAGAATATATAAGAGTGATATGTTATGTCTCTTGATACATTTCCAAGTAAACTATTTATAGTTTACTAAACACATTTAGTACTATGTATAGATTAACTTCTTGAATATAAAATTCTAAACTAGAACATGTACAGTAAATACGAACTATAGGAATAAACTCTTGGCTGTGGTTCGTTAAGTACCAAATAACAGGACCACCCTGGAGTACTGTATAAGTACTTAAACTGAGATATTTACTACACTTTTTGTCTTCCTCATCAACTCTGCAGCAAGTTTGCAATGTTGCAACTCCAACTTAAAAATGCAAATTAAGCCATTATATAAAACACATACATTGAAACAATCAAATATTGAGTAGAATGATTAATGAACTCTAAAGATACAAACTCACAATCCTTTGTAATATATAGTAAACAAATTATTTTATAAAATAATATCACTTCAATGAGAAAAAAACAAAGGCTGGAGATATTGACTTATACTGGTAAAATAAAATGGGCTAAGCAATTGAACAGTCCAAGCTTACATCCAATTGTTTTATCTCCAAGATTTTAACATAAAAGTTACAAATGAATAATATCTTATAGAAATGTCCAATATCTACTACTCTACAGTTCAAAATCAGATATTACCCAGCTTATCTTGAAATCCATCAACATTTGAAAATCATTGTATTACAAATTGGTATGACTTGAAAGTGTCAATACTACAAATTGTTAACAGATAAATGTGCACACTGCTACTATTGTGAGGAGGCTGGGAATTTAGCAAGAGCACACTTAACTTTCTTAATTTCTAAGCAATGTAGGGGATGGTAAGAATTGGGATAATGATGTGGTCTGAGAAGGATCTAGATTTCGTGAATTTCAATAAGTTACGTCAAGCTAAAGGCACATCTTTCAACATTAACATCGTCTTAAAAGATTGTCTGCTAAGTAGAGATAGCTCTAATTCCATCTATAGTGCTTCCATAATTGAATACCCACTGCAATCACAGAACATGCAATACAAATTAGGCAACAAATGGAACTTGATCTACACACCAACATTTGCTCTTCAAAAAAACAGTCTTCTATTCTGTGTAGATGAACCATATTGTCCAAGAGAGTGCAGAGGAGGTGATGCATGACTGTACAGTAAATAGGCCTCAGAGCAGAGGAAGAAAGATTGGGACATTGCTGGGAAAGAACCACACATTATGCTAATTTGGTCATTCTCTAGATAACAAACGCATTCTAATTGATTCATTACTGGGGGCATGGAAGAAATGACCTATTAAAAAATTAAAATCTGAGTCACATACTGTAATTGCCGTAATTAATTCACATAAACATTGCAAATGAGATGCTTAAATAAATACTTTTGGCAAAAGATGGCATATGGTGCACATAACTTGTTTTTTTTTATCATGCACATACATCAATCGCAATGGTTTTAAAATACAGTAAGACAGAATACAGTTTTACTTATTCTTCAATTGTTAATTCTTGCTGTATATACCTGCTGAATTGCTACTTTTAATCTAAATATAATTGTACAAATTCTATTATCCTTCAGAGGGTTTTTGGCATTTGGTCCTATTTAACTCATTGTGCATGTGCTGTATTTGTTGTCATTCGCTTCTACCTGTTTACTTGTTTTTGTTTTATTACAACAAGATGTAAAATTAATAAAGACATAATTTTGCCCTGTTTTGTGATATTTTGACTACATGTAGAGGCTAAAATATTCTATTCTAATTACACACATTTCATTAGCATTGTACCATAGCTTAGTTCAGTTAGGTTGCATACAAATACAGAATCAGCAAACAGTCCCTGAAGGGGCTGTAAAGAGAAATCAGGTTACCATCCTGATTATATTCATTACTTTATAGCATTTTATCAGCTTCTTTCTTTGATCTGATAAACTCCAGTTCTTGGACACACAAGACTACTGTACCTTACATACAGTAGTGTGTCACTTTTATTCAGTATTGTCGTGTCTTCTTTGTTCATGTTAATTGAATAAACAATTGGACATTGGATTGGATAAAATTAAAAGTGACATTCCCCACTTCAAGCAGAACTACACCTATGGCTTTGGAACAAACAAACAAGCCAAATACCATTCCACTACATAAGTCAATTTCTTTCAGGCTATGTGACAATGACAACATAGGGTGAGTTTTGTTTTCAGTATGATCCACTTGGTATGCCCTATCATACTGTTGTATGATGTGCATGCCACATCATTTAAAAACATGTGCAATGACATGCCTGGAAACCAACTACCAAAACATCTGTTGCTGATACATTTCTAAAACACATGGAGTTGTTTGCTGCTATAAAGTTAGTTTTGTTTTATTACAGTGGTATTAAATTGAATTCAATTGAGCAGACTAAAGCGGTCCGATTACCTTTAAATATAATACACTAACAGGAAGACATACTGTAGGGCATCTGTTGCTATGGTTGTGTTCCATATTTAATATTTGCTTGTTAATAGCTGAAGCGCCTTACGCTGTTTTTCTCCCTTTTTTATCAGTTGAGTCGCTTTCATTTTAGTATCCTGAAAGGGAATCCTTTGATTGGAATAAGCGATGTCATTGTCTCCCTTTCAGCAATGATTATTACAGGTCAAACAGAAAGGCATTGCCAGTGTCCCTCTCTAACGTCAAAGCCAGGCATTTAAAGTGTCTGATGAGCAGTTTGGTTTTAACCTTTGAATGGATCTTCAGTTTAATGGAATACAGTTTAATTTAACATCAGGAATCAGCGTTACCAATTTTCGGGGGTATTCGGGAGTTGTCTCTTGTTCTAAAATTTAAAGAATTTAAAGAGTTTTCATGCTTACTAATCTAATTATTAGCAACATTACAGTCATCTTTACAATTAAAGTGTGCTTAGTAAATTCAAAATTACTGCTGTCATTAACAACCCGCATTTTATTAAATTTCCCTGTCCTTCTCTTTGGGTTTTTAATTTAAAAATCATGTTTTACTGCTTATAGATATTTTGTTTTAAACGACTATGGTTTGTGCGCCACCTTGTGCTGCAAGCTTGCTTCAGCGATCTCCAGAGCTAGTTCCATATAGTAATTCCTGAACACCTCACGGAAATGGCGGCCGTTGTTTAGTAACCTGGACGCTGTGGAACTATCAAGATGGCGAGACAGAAGTAAAATGCTGTACTTTATGGTTTTATTTTTTAATTGATAACAGAGCAGCTCAGCCACTTTTATCTGATTCGCGACTTGTTCAGAATCGACAGAGACGCTACCATGCCAGATACAGATGAGGAGTTGGTGTTGGTGAGTTTTTATGGTGTTTATGTTTTTATCTTTAGCTTCTCGATAGCAGAAGGCAGACCAACTTTAATACTCTTGATGCCGATAAGCGAAAATGTTGCAAATAATGCATTTTATATGTTTAAATAGTAACTGTTATGTTGTAAATAGTGACAAAACAATGTATCATATATTGATACTACTAGATTCATGCATGTATTGTTTTGTGCTGAAACAATTTCGAGCACTGTACAGTATTTTCCGAAACTATGAAGTCTGGCATTATCGCGAACTTGACATTTTAGAAGCTTTAAGATTCTGTATTCCTGCAATTAAATGCATCATAGCTATTCATGTCATGCTGTAGTGTATGCAAACAGTACAGACTGTCCCTTGGTTTGTAAGGACTGCTGTTTAAAAGTAACACTGTGAGGTGAAGTTCTTTATACCCGTTAATTATTTTTGCATATTACGTACGGCGTGTTTATGTGGATAATCTGGCCTTAGGTGTTTTCTGTGATAATATGTATGATTTGAACCAAAGATTCCAAACAGCCTTTAAAAGAATTTGTAGAATATATAGAATATGCACAAGTCGCACACACAAACCATCATTCACTGAAATTTACTATGGCATAATATACAACCCTGTTACAGTTGGATGAAATTGAAATATAATGTGCAGTACGTTTATGTGAACGTCATGGATTTTCAGTTGATTTAATCAAAAAATGGAAACATACTTTACCTTACTGGATACTTACTGGATCCAGTAATATACTTTATATTACTGGTATACTGTACTTAGTATGACAAAACGACATGGCATCATGTAAATGTTCTGAGAACATTATAGAAATTGCCCTTATAAACTCCCCACAGCCCTGAACATACAGCTGTTTTGCAATTTCTGTGTCCACAAAAATCACAGTTATGAAATGTTAAGTGGAAGATAATATTGTAATGTATGCTATTTTCATTAATATAGAGTACAACTGAGGTGTGGACCGTGTTAAAACTGTGGTTGTCCCTCCAAACTGGGCTTCGGGCAATGATAAAGCAGGTTAGGGATGCCATAGTGACACCAACAATGGCTTTGAAACTGCTTTAGTGTTCAGTGACTGACATGGGAGAAAATGTCCATCACTCACAAATATACTGGCCACACTGAAACAAGGTGTGGGGCAACACATCTCAATGCCAGCATGGCTTTTGCAATAATATTGTAAACATGGATAAATGTGGTCAAACATCACAAATTTGGAACCTTTTAATATTGTAATGCTTCGGGGTTCACATGCCACATCAGGTTGGCCCCCCACCATCGGGGACTCAAACCCGGGCTTCCGGCGTCACTCAATAGGGACCCAGCCACTTGAGCCAAAGGGAAATCTCCCTTCAGCCCGGCAGCTGCGGTCCCTGCTATACACAATGGTGGCCGTATTCATTACAATAGAAATGTTGATGCCGCATGGGGGTGTACTTTGATTGGTATGGTTTTCCCCCCGGTCTCATTTTGTTTTCTGTAGTTTTCCCCCTGCCTAAGTTGGAGCCACAGAGCTCACAGGAGTCTGGACACCAAAAATCACTGAAGCAGGCATCAGCTGTGCATCCTGCTCCAGTCTAGATAAATGGAGCGCCAGACCAGTAAAGAGCGTGACAATAGTACAAGGGTGAAACAGGAGCTCAAGCTTGTGCTGCAGACAGGGAGGGTGGCAAGACGTAGTAATTAAGCTCAACTGTAAAATAAGTGGGGGTGCTGCTGTACTACAGCAAAAACTGCTGAAATTTAGTATTGGCCTCAGGCTTCAGGAATTAAACCTTTCTGCTATAAAATAAGCAGTGATTTTACTGCCCATGGAGCCACAATACAGCACAAGTTGCTGCACTATAAATCCAGTTTTAAGACTGGAATAACGAACTGCCTGGCTATTAAGCAAACCATCGGGGTAAAAAGGATATGCCGTGTTACCACACCAGCTGGGAAGATGTGATGCTGATAGTACTGCTTCATGAACTCGGTGAAGACAAACATGTGACACTGTGAAGATGGCACCAGGAAGCCACTGGCCACCATACTGATACGGTGTGAGATACTGGGAAGCGCAAGACACTGGCTGAGATGGCCAAAACCTGAAGCGAAAGTTACTTTTGAGTAACCACAACCATTTCTGCAAAATACACCGGCATGGTTGTAGTATTTGGAGACTGGAATAAGTGAGGAAAGAGCTCAAAGAGGAGCATAGGTTTTCTTTTGTCATTTTATTCTATGCTGCTTGTTCCCACACATGTAAATAAAGTGCCTTTTTCACCTTAAATCTTGTGTGTGGGGTGCATCTACATTTGGGATCCTGCCTAAAACCTGTGTCCCATGTTGTGGACTGCCTCACACATCATTGAAAAATGCTAAGTATTACATCTGGTGCAAGCAAAACACATGTTACACTTGTATAATAATCATATTAAAACTGTGAAAGGATGTGCTTGACCTTTATTGAACCAATAAAGTGCTCAGTTTAGATGAAGTCCCTTTTCTTGGCTAGACTCTATTTTTTTAAGATTCTGTTTAAAACACATGTTCCAGTAGGGTCTCCCTTTTCTGTCTCTGTGTTGAAAAGAATCGAAGAATCCAATTTGCAGCACGTGGAAAGGTTTTACCAAACACGTGTGGTATTCTCCTGTGATTAATTCAGCAAAGAGCGCCTGTCGGGCTTGGATTCCCATTGATCTGTATGGTGGATAGAAAAATTAAAGAAAAGACAGTTTGCACTGTTTCTATGGATACCACAGTAAATAGTAATGGTCAGAGTAAAGGCAGAATCTTCTGGCGCATGAGCATTTCTTTTGGGTGCAGGGAAGTAAAGCAATTAAGCAGCAAGGTTTTTTGTTGATCCAATTACTAAAAGCAGTTGCCTTGCTTTTCTCTGATAAGGAGGTCTCGGGGTATGTCACATTATAACGCCTAATACTTTAAATGTTGGTCTGTTATTGCATTGATGGTTTATTTTGTTATAAGACAGAGAACCTGTATGCTGTTAAATAATCAAGCAGTGTTTAAATATACTACACTGGCAGCCATTATCTCTCATCTGAGACACCCTTTTCTGGAGAAAATTAAACATGAATAACCTGCTTGTTGGTGAAGTATATTATGCACGATTATCTATAAAAAAGGGCGTTTCGACTGAGTGAAAACATAAAGGTGCTCACAAAGCAACAATTTAGCTTCCAGGCATTGCGGGACTGAATTGGAGTCATTGTTACCAGCTGATTGAAATGGCATTCACCAAGCTGGATGGCAGGATTCGAAACCTGTTTTGCAGCCTTTCATAAATTCATTTATTTATTTTAAGAATATCATCAGCTTCACCTGACATCATTCACCTGCAAAACTACAAAGCTGTCACTCCTTAAGAGGATGGATGCCTGGTGGTGCTCATATTATTAAATATACTTGATGGGTTTAAAAATTACTGTAACAGGACATATTGGAGTATTATGTTACAGGGAGCTAATTGTAGAATATCTTAGTTTAAGTAATTGCATGCTAATCATTATGTTTTAAATTTGATTTTTTTTTGTGTGTTTAGGCATCAATTAATTTTTACTGCCAGGAAAAATATTTCAGTCATGTACAGAATGCTGCAAATGAGGCTCTGAAGAAGTATAGCAATGATCCTGTCTTCACATTTTTCCATGCCTATGGAATTCTAATGGAAGGTAGGTAAAGGAAAGACCTCTTCAGCTGACTTATGCCAAATCACTTAAATATTTAGAAAATACAGTTTGCATTTTTGTGTGTTTTAATGAATGGTATAATCTTTAGGCAAAATTCAAGAGGCCATTCGGGAATTGGAAAGTATTAAAGACCGACGAGAGGTGTCACTCTGCACTTTGATGGCCCTTACTTATGCCCATAAGAAAAGTCCACTTCCAGGTATGTTTTTCTTTTTGGAGATTCTTTCCAATGAGTGATTATCATATACAGTTTGCTTCAGGAGTTTCAACGCTGTCTATGCAATATACACTCCATAGATGTTGATTGTTTTCCATGCTACTGTAAGAATAAGAGTGATTGGTATAGATTTATAGTGGTTATACCATAGGACCTTACTGTCAGTGGGCATTCCCATTCTTGAAAAACTTGAATGTTCTATGTAATCTAAAGTTGAACTTTTTGGCTACATAAGAAAGTGTATATGAAGTAAAAATCAGACACTGTCTTCCAACAGAAGAACCTCATCCCAGCTGTCAGGCATGGCAATGGGAGTTGGGATTTGAAACTGCCCAGATGGTTTTCCATCGTTGATATAACCCTGAATTTGGCATTGTATTAGCAAACACTGGAGGAGAATGTCAATTCGTCAGTTGAAGCTGAGCCGAAAGTAGGTCATGCGGCAAGACAATGATCCTAAACATACAAGCAGATCTACAACAGAATAACTGAAGAAGTTTCTCGTTTTGGATTGGCCAAGTCAGAGTCCGGACCCAAAACCCTATTTACATGTTATGGCATGACCTTAATTAAGCTGTTCATTCAATGAAACCCTCAATTGAATGAATGAAGTCAAAGACTTAAAGCAGTTCTGTAACAAAAGCTGTTTCAACAGATTGATTAAACAGTTAAGTCTTGTTGAAGTCATTGCTGTTCAAGAAGGTGCCACTAGTATTCCTATGAGGATATTTACCGTTATATTATTTTAATAATTACAATGATCCAAATATATGTTGTCATTGTGTTTTACATTTTATCTAGTTATCTTCATCTTTTATTAAGACTTTACAATCTTATTATGTTTTAGGTCTAAAATATACAAGAATAACCAATCTTGTTATATAACCAAGATTGTTAGAAATAATAGAACTTTGAGGGTCAAATTCATTGAGCACAAGTAGCACTCCACTTTGTGCTCCAAACATTGTTAAGCCAGTCTATGAACCCAGTGCAGTGACACAAATACAGTACATGCGCAAATTATTCTTATTTTTATAGTTTAAAGTATGAGGATTTAAGGTGCAGTAAATCATCTTAAAGCAAGAGACCAAGCAATCTTTCAAAGCATTTTAACAAAGCAGTAGCAACAGTAGCCTTTAGGTTTAGACCTTGGTGCCATTCTTTCACACTTGGTAATGGGTTTTGTCACAGTTAAACACTTTTTCTGGCTTGTATGTCTTCTCTTGTGAGCTTCAGTAGGTGCTCCAGAAGCTCCAAAGCAGCTTTATGGTTGGCTGATGAAGATTTCTCAGTCATTTTTACATTAGTAACAGTGACGCACCACTAGGGACTTGGAGCAGTAGTAAGCCTCTTTTAAATAGGCAGATCTAAGAAAACAGATACACACTCAGCTGTAAGGTAAACATGGTGCTTTTTAACTATACAGTGAAGTTAAACTGCCAAAACGCAAACAGTACCCAAGTGCCTCTTGAACTCTTACTAATAGTGGAGAATCCTTAGGCCTTTAAGGATATAGATAAGATAAGATCACTTTATTGGTCATGTACAATTTCTTTGTATTAGGAATTTGTCTTTTCGCATACCCCAGCTTGCTCTCCATGAGACGCACAGACAGGGTGAGAAGCTTGGGGTCAGAGTGCAGGGTTGATGGTTTCACTAAAAATATCTTGGGTGAACAAACACAAACGTGCTTTCTTAATCAAAATTATTTTATTTGCAGTAGTAGTAACCTGGGTGGCACAGTGGCGCAGTGGTTAGCATTGCTGCCTCAGAGCACTGGGGCCCGGGGTTCAATTCTGGACCTGGGGTACTGTCTGCTTGACGTTTGTGTGTTCTCTCAGTGGATTTCCTGACTGGGTTTCCTCTGGGTTTTCCGGTTTCCTTCCATACTGGAAAGCATGCTGGTAGGTTAGGTGTGAATGTGTGCATGTCTGTGTCTGTCCTGCAATGGACTGGTGTCCCATCCAGAGTGTACCCTGTCTGGCGCTTGTTGCTTCCTGGGACAGGCTCCAGCTCCACGGTAACCCTGAAAAGGCTGGTGGTTACAAAATGGTTATCCATCCATCTCTTTTGTATTTTGACTCTGAAATGTTTGCTTTGAAAAAAAATGCAAGTTTCCAGCAGTTGAGTACTTACCAGTGAAGGGTATTGTTAAACAATTCAGCTGTAAGTTTATCTTGTATCGCAATATCTAATGAAGTATCCTAATACACCTCACTTGTATGTGAATGTAGTTGCTGTTTAATCTCTTTTGTAGATCGAGATGCTATCCAAGAGCTGGATGCTAAGCTGAAGGAAGATCGCAAGAGTGCAGGTCAGAAGGGACTGTATTTTGCAGGGCTGTTTCTTTGGCATCTGGGCCGCAATGACAAAGCAAGAGAATACATTGAACGGATGATTAAGATTTCCAATAGTGCTAAAGAAGTGAGTGTTTTTACCTTTCAAATCAGCAGTATGTACTGTAGCTGTATATGTTTTAATGTAAAAAGTTACAGATATAAGTACTGATTTATGCTTGTGCTATGAAGCAGTTATTTCTATCACTTTTTGTATATGTACCTATTGTAGAGAAAAGACCATTTCATTGGATTTGTATTATACAGATTGATTTATTATTTATGAGTAACATTTTTATCAGCAGTGTATACCAGCATGCATTCATTTATTTACTTGTCATTTTGTAAATTTGTTAACTTAAAAACACGAGCTTTGGTTTCCAGTAAATATGAGTGCAAATAAAATTTGCAATAGTGGACCAGATTTGATTTAAAAGTATTTCAGTTAGACCTTGTATATTGTTACATAAATTAGAGAAATACTAGGCAAAACCATTGCATGGTATGGCTCATAATGTTTTGCATTTTTTTTTGTTTATTTTACAATAAAACACCTTGTTTCTTCATTAGATACCATTCGAGCAAAATTAGCATTATTAAACGTTTATTTTAAATACAATTTGAATTACCGTACACCACTTAAATGTTCTTTTAATTTTTTTTTTTGTCAGCAATCTTGTTCAATAACAAGCAAACGAAAACAGCAAGAGTATTCACACACCCTTGCAATACGAATTACCGATTAATATGAATTGTCGCTTCAATGAAGCATGTATTTGAAATACCTTTATTTAAATACATTTCTTCCCTGTACAAATCCATTTTTGTTACAACAAATGTGCTTTCCTTCACAGTCGATGTGATATAATTTGGATTACTGTACCCTACTTAAGTTTCCTTTTTTTGAAAAAGATATTATGAGCACATCTTGTGATTTCACCAAATGATTATCATTGAACCCCTTAATTTTAACACCATATCAACAGACGTTTTGCACAGGCTTCAGGTGTTACACAAGCAAAAAAAAAAAACAATTTCCCATGGCTGTAAAATTTGAAGTGATAGGACTAAAAAAGCAGTCAATAGGTATTTGAATTACCTTGGGTTTAAAACTGCACTGTGCACATGTTCAGCAGTTTACACTTTTACAAGTTTTAGTTGTCTTGCTAACCGCTACAATAAGTTAAATGGGCTAATTCTAATAACCATGCAATAGTGTTCTTATTTAGACAATTCTGTATTCTTAAGTAACAATTAGTAATATCAGGCAATTTTTAGACATCAGTAATGAGTTATAAGCTTTCGCATATAATGAGAATTTAATTTTCATTATGCAAAAGTTTTTATTATGAACAGTTTTTGAGGAATAAGTTACCTTCTCAAACCGAGTAACAGGTGTATTTGTGTATCAGCTGTTAAACTACAGGGCTGAAATGCGAGTTACTGTATTTGGGCTCTGGCATTAGAGATCAACATCTCATTTAAGTTTTGCTTGAGCAGTTGATTAACTTTTTTAGTGAATTTTTAGTGTTTTTAACTGGAAAACAGCAAAAAATGACCATCTAAACTAATGCTATTGCTCTTTCTCAACTGCTGCCTGTACATATGAAGCAAATCAGTGTTTTGTTCACTTCTATGAAGTCTACAAATCTTAATTTCTCCATTTCTCTTGAACAATGCAGCATTATTTTTGTTTTCTTCAATAACATGGCCCTTATTACTATTACTAATAATTACTTATTACTTTAGAAATATCCTTTTGAGATATAAATAAAAAAACATTAAGTACAGTTTCATTGACCAATGGTGGTTCAGTTGCTGAGGGTGTTCCAGAGTTTGGAGGAGGAGAATGGAGGACGTGTGTGTACAGGTTTTGTGGAGTGAGATTTTTCCTCGCCATTTATGCGAAAAGACAAATTCCTAATACACGAAGTTGTGTATGGCCAATAAAGTGATTCTTTCTTATCTATTTACATACATTACAAACACCAGCCTCTGTCAACTGCCTCTAGGTAGAGGTGGAGAAACACAGGGAGCATTGTGTATTCAGGCTGATGCAGATCACAATGGGTGCCTGCTTCACTGACAAGGTGCAAATTGAATCCTGGCCAAGGACTCATGATTACAGCTGCTGAAGGCCATATGTTTGACACCCCTGGTCTACCAGTAAATAGGACAGCACCAGTATCAAAACCCAAAGGAAAATACAAGCAGTCGTGCTGCTGCAGTTTTAATCATGTGATTACCCATGGATGTTGTAGCATAAGAAATCTTTGTAATAGTTAAAACGGTAGTTAAAAGAATAATTAAATTCAATTAAAAAAAAACATTGTTGAATTATTACAGTAAAATGCTTTATTTAGCAGTACAATTATTTTATCTTACTTCATTCAATTTTAACAGTCTAACTGTTTTTCCAGGGGCTAATCTTGAAAGGATGGATAGATGTGACATCTAATAAAGATTCCTATGTCAAGAAAGCTGTCAAGTACTTTGATGAAGGATTAAAGGAAAAAGCAGATGTTTTTGCTTTAATGGGAAAGGTAAACCAAGCCTTATACGTACTGTAGTGTAAATAATGTTTTCTTGGAAAACTTGCAATGGTATTTTTGCTGTATCCCTTTAAGTCCTGAATGTTTGTTTTTTTTCCCATGAAAACGAAAATTCCCACATATAAGAATGTTTCCTTTAGTAGAACAGCTAGTTTTCCTTATTGTACATTATTTACAGACAGCAGAATTAAAAAATCCCTACATAAAATGTGAATATATAGTTTAATTAGATGTATACATGCAAACATTTTATGTAAGCTTATATAACATTATATATTTATATAAGTTTAAACATTTCTCAAAGACCACGTGACATTCACAGACTAATGATTCAGTTGCGTAGACTCAAGTTCTGTGAAAATATTTTATTTGGTGAAACTCAAAAAAGTTGTTCTTTTTTCATTAGTGCAAAGGAAAACTTTGCACAATGTATACCTTGAATGTGACCCAATACTTGCCAGTTTTCACCTCGATTTTGCACTCTAATGATTTGACCTTATGTCACAGGCCAATCAGAGCAGAAGCTCAGATTCCGAGATCATAAACTTTTTTCAACTGGTAGGACGTTCAAGTAGAGACAGGCTATAAAGCCTTAAAATATTGCTTATCGGAATACGATAATCTTGTTTTAAAGATTTGTGTTTTTGTTAAATGTTTCTTTTTCTATAATTAATATTTTGGGACTTTCATCATTGAGGATTTGTTTTCTTGTGGAAACCTGCATACTGTAGCTGCATAAAAGCACATCAGAAATGCCGTACAGTCACTGGTAAAGGTACAATAACTACCTATGCATTGTGTAAATGGCCATCCTCTGACATTTATACAGTTATGTCTGGAAAAATTCCTCCTCTCTAATTTTTCATGTATATCATTTAAAGTAGATCTTCTTGACAGTTTTACACATCACCCATTCATTTTAATTATATATAGGTGTAAATCCTCTTAGATACCTTCCCAATCCTGTAAACTTGTTTTCATTTATTGACGTTTCATTGTCGTTGTGGGAGACAGTTATACTCTTATGCTTCTCATTTGATCAGATCTGCTCCTTATGTCTTGTGATTTATATAGTTTAAAACCACTTCAAAGATTTAAGGAGTGAGGTATTTAAATTGCACATAAATTGCAGGGGGTTTTGTGCTCAATAATGTAACTTTGATGAACTTCACAATGTCTTTGTACTACTGAATTACTACCAAGAAATCATTTTTAATTTCTCATTGCTTCAGATCTCTGGAAAATTGAGTGGCATAGCATTACTTGAAGTACTTCAAGTCCTGTGTTTAACTTTATTGAAAGAGGAAATATTTTTTGTGGTTTTATAACAATCCAGAAATGGTTATGTTTGGAAAAGATTAGTTCTGTTTCTCTTCCACTTGACTGGGTTTTCATACATTTGACAGCTATTTTATTAGATGAATATTGATTATATGGATTATCTTTTCCCAATAGGCTCTTCTAGCCTATACTAGATCATCTTATCCATTTCACATTTGCTTTGTTCCCAAATTAAATCCATTTTTTGTTCAAGGTTAAAGAGTGTGTTACCCCAGCTGCACAATAATATATAAAATGATTGCAACACTTTGAAAGCTGTTTAAAAGCAGTTGCTGGTTGGAGAAAAGAAAAGCAGTTTTGTAAATGTTGTAACCTTTAACCAAAAAAATAGCATCACAAGAGAGTCATTGTTGCATTCAGATTTGGATTCTGGTGCATTTAAGTTTAAAGGACTTGCTCTAATGCATCCCCTTCATACTAAAATGTTTCCAGACTTTGGTGAGAAACAGATGTCTAAAATGTTGTGGGCATAAGTATTGGCATCCTATATTTAAAAGAAATATTCTTCCTCTTTTGTAAGTTGAAGCAGGTTTTATGTATATCAAGGTTACTGAGCCATTATGATGCAGCCTTGTAGGAAGCTTTATGGACATCCACGATACTTCCAGTGAATCTTCTTTGATAGTATGTTAACCAGTTAATACATCCCATGATCTTGTTTTTGCGAAGATGCTCTACACCATTTTTCATTTACTGTAAATGAGGAAAGTGGAAGAAGACAACAATGCAAGGTGTTCCTGAAACGAATAGACCAAATTACAGATGTTGTTAGCCCAATAATACAGTTGAAAGTTGGAGGACATGCAAGGGCCTCAGTGAGGATTTTGGTATCCACACTTAAAAAGAGTATTAGATAGATTTTTCTTTAATAGAGCTTCCCTTACAACATAGAAATTTTCAGCTGATGCATGATTAAAATCAAGAAACTCTTCCATTTTGGCTTGAAACTGTATCTTCCATATGGAGCAACAGTAAGAACAAAAAATGAAAGTCCTCTTCAAAGAACCCCCTGACTGGCAACCGCCTTTCAATCTCCTCCCCTTGGTGAATTGGTGACTCATAATTTCATCAGATAACTTAAAAACACTGATGCCTCCCCCTACAGTAGTTTAAAACTATTGATAGCAAAAAAAATAGTAAGAAAAATAAGAAATCCCTCGTTTTCCAACTGCTGGAAATATTCTGAACTAAGAGACCATTAGTAAGAAAATCCATCCATTATTATCAGAAAATATATCTTAGTCTTGGAAGCACAGGATGGAAGGACTGGACATTAGTCTGTCACAGTGCACATTTTGCATACTGGAAATTTTACATCAGTAAATTAGCCAGCAAGACTTTGGAAAGTGGGCAAAAAACCTAGATCAACATGCAGAGAACATAAAAAAACCTGACACAGAAAGTTTCTAGGCTAGAAGCAACCCCATAATTTAAGTACAGTGAGGCCGAAGTGCAGTCTTCTATGACATCGTACTGACCTTCATTAATAAAATGCCTTGTGACGAAAATACATGTTTAAACAGTGTTGGTGACAACGGATTAGGTATAAGTTTGGATTTTAAATGTCGAATAAAGTCAAAATTGCTTATCTTTTGTTTTTCTAAGAATTGCCATGTACAGTAAATAAAACTACTTTGGCACCACCATATGCAATTTCGCTCTTAACAAGGGAAGATAGTACCGGTGCAAAAAGGTAAGACACCTAGATCTGACCTTATCTACACACACAGTTACAGTAAAGGAATCCTTTAAACAACAATAGTACCTTTGATAAAATAAGTGCTACGCTATCCATTTTGACAAAGCAGACCCTTTTAGATTTAAAGGGGAACTGCAATGTTATTTTTATATTTTGGGGTTAGAAAGAACATTTCAAACCACAATGAAAGTAAAATGTACACAGTAATGTGTAAAACCTCCAATTTACATCACAAAATAGACTAAATTTCTAGGTAAGTGCCATACTATATTGCTGTCATTGTCTGTGATTCCAAACGAGGCAACAAAACGTCCGGCGATGTGAAAAGGCCCTATTTCATTGTAAACAAGCAGGCCTGTGAATACTTCTCTTTAAATCCAATCGAAATATTACTCTCGAGTTCAAGACAGGTTTGCCGACAAATACTTCTTACTTATTCATTCTGAACAGAATATTTCTGCGGTGAAATGTCTGCTTGCACAACCTGTATTTACTTTCTCGTAAATCGCATGACATTACATTTCACATGACATTTCAGTGCTTAGTGAGCAAGAAGGGCTGGTTTAAGTCACAATTTGTGCTAGTTCTCATTCTTGCCTGTAGAAAGACCAGCAGTTTGTGACAACATGGTGACCATGCAGTACTTTTAAAAAGTTAATGATTTTGTGGAATTTTTTAATTTTATAATACCATCAGTTAATTTAATTAATTTTTAAGAACTCGTCTGAGACATTGGGACTGATGAACCCCTTTAATGTATTTGTCTGTGTCCTGAGCTAAGGTAAATAGTGGCTGTCCACCAGCATGAAGGACTTTGAGCAGTGTAGGATACATCAGTAAAGTATGGACACTTGCTCCTTCAGAGATTTCATCAGTGCCACGTAGGCATGTCTGCTAGGTAGTTGCTGGGCTATAAGTGATGTTTGGGAGTGATCCACCTTTGTGACCTTATGCTCCAGCCTCTACAGCTTAGCTGGCATTTTATTGTCTTTATCTGTTGCCTTTGTCTACTAGAGACCAAATCCATTTTCAAGGCCTGAGATCTGAACATGTAAGTCTGCACATAATGCAGCAGTCCATGAGTTCACCACTACCGTCGGTTTCTACAACCAGCACCTTTTAGTAGAATTCTTCAGCATAGCAGCTATTTTAGCTACTAATTCTTTCCAGTTCTTTGTAACAGGGGATTGCTTTGTAATTAATGCTGTTATTGCTCATGAATATAAAATAAAATAAAAAAAAACTGTGAAAAGGAAAGCAGCAGGTGCTCCAGCTGTGGTTATCATTCTGGCATGCTGATCATGTGATCTCCAACTCCGTCCATACATCCATTCATTTTCTAACCACTTATTCCAATTCTGGGTCGCAGGGGAGTTGAAGCCTATCACCGTAAACATTGAGTGCAAGGCAGGGTGCACCCTAGATGGGATGCCAGTCCATTGCAGGGCACACACATTCAGAATACTCTCAGAACCCAATTAACCTACCAGTATGTTTTTGGAAATTGGAAGGAAGACGGAACACATGGAGGAATCCCATGCCAACATGAAGAGAACATACAGTACAAAATCCCCACACGGATAGCACCCCCAGGTCCAGAATTGAAAGCAGGGCTCCAGCGCTGTGTGGCAGCAGTGCATGTTCTCTGAGAAATTAAAAGATATCTATTACTGCTTACTAGTCTTCAGTAAACTTACTAAATGGCAATATTGACAAGTATAATTTAACAAAATATTATAATTAATGAAAGTTCCTATCTTGGATATAGGGTTCTTATACTTATGTCTACTTCTGTATGATCATAATTTGGTGTCATAAGTATCTGATGTATGATTTTCATATGTTGACTTCATGGTTTCATTAATCAGTTTAATTAAAATATGGTATTTATGTTTTAGTTTATTGAAGTTTAATTTCTCATCATCAACTTATGAAATCTGTTATTTGTTCCTCATTAGGTACAGTATTTCGAGCTGCGACAGAACTACTCTGGAGCTTTGGAAACTGTCAACCAGATTATTGTTAACTTTCCTGGATTCCTCCCTGCCTTTATAAAGAAAATGAAATTACTGTTACATTTGCAAGACTGGGAGCAGACTGTTGAAGCAGCACATAGGTACAGAAAATGACAAATGTTAATTGTTGCTGTTGTGTTTTTTTATGATGTTTCTGAGGATTGCTGTTTCTGTCATACATTTTGCATTAAAGTTCAACAGTTTGTGACTGCGGTCACTTGTATTAAGCCGTTATTATTGAATAAAGGAGAAAGACTAAAGCATACAAAATGTGTAATTGAGGTAGATCATATTGGGTCTAATATGAAACTTCTGCTTTCGCTCTTTAAGACTTTTTCTAGCCTTAACGATAAAATTGTATTCAAGATCAAACCAAGACTAGGATTAATGCTACAGGATTATCTACCGTTATTGTTTTTTCAATGACTGTTCTTCATGAAGGATTTTTGCCAGGGTCCTAGAAAAAAAATAAAAATAAAATAAAAGGCCATTGAATTAATCTACTGAACCCATGCAATTCACAAGCCTGATTTCTTTCATCTGTTTTTTAAGATACAATGAACTGGAACAAATCTGGCAGCCTGAGCTCAGTGGGCTTCCCCACTATCAGGTGTGATGAATAGAGAGCATTGACTTAATGCCATAACTGCTAACTGAAGAGCAGTGAGGTGTAGCGTGCAGTGGTAGACAAGGGGCAGACAGCCTTGTCTCTTCCAAAAAAATGACATTTTAGGACTTTAGGATCTCCCAACTGCTTCAATTATATAATTGACCCTTAATCACATAAGACCATATTGCTGACTTTCATTTAAATAATTAGGCCTAGGGTGTTGATGAAGCATACAGCAAAACAAACAAAAACAAAATAGTCCACCTTGCTTGCCTTTGTACTGGACATAATAATTGTCACATAGAGTTAATGCTGTTACTTTAACATTTATAAAGGACTCATTCAGATATTGCTGAATTTCAATCAGATAAAATAGAACTAAGTTCTTCCTTTAATATAAAATCAAGTGAGGTAAACTGGGTGAATGATTTTGCCAGAAGCAGTTGATATTTTTGGATATACACAAAAAATATTTGGGGAGGGTGCCTCCAAGAGAGAGAGGGTGTCAAGACGCATTAAATCAGAAACAAATCTAGGCATTTACATGAAGGGACAAAGCAGAGCTGTGAAAGATACTGTATATCAGAAATCCACTACAAATATACAGTTGATGTCTGTACTGTATATACACTACCTTGAGCTGTTTCCTGTATAGAAATAGGATCAACATCCAAGGCATATTTTATAGTTATGCTCATCTTGCACAGACGTTGTTCATGGCTGACGAGTGAGCATGGCTGAGCAGTTCTGATGTTTGCACCACTGACTAAGGCCGTTTTTACGGACTTTTAGAATTAATAATTCATGACTTTCAGAATTAGCATCCTACTGCACTTGCCAGCACTGAGGCGAGTTTGAAGTGCAGAACTAAGGAGAGACTAATCAACTGGTAATATGTATTACTACTTTTAGTTAAGATCAATTTATTGTCCATATACAATGTCTTGTATTAGTAATTTTTGCATACCCCAGCTTGCTCTCCATGAGACACATGGAGAGGGAGAGAAGCTGGGGGTCAGAGCGCAGGATCAGCCATTTATATGGCCCCCCTGAAGCAGTTGGGGTTAAGGGCCTTGCTCAGGGGCCCAAGGGAGTAGGATTCCTCTGCTGGCCACAGGATACGAACTGGCAACCTTCCAACCACAGGTGCAGATCCTTAGCCACAGAAGAGTTCCACAGATTTTTACTTAAATTCAGTTGTGCTTTTTGTTCTTTAAATTCAAGAGTTTGAAAACTTTAAAAAAGTAGCCAGCAGGCAAAAACCTACACATTAGTCAAGCTCCAAGTTTTTTGTGATGAAAATGTTGATATTTAATTAAACGTGCTGAATTAGCGGAATTGGAAAATATAACTTTACTGAAACCTACCTCCTGTTCAATTTCCAGAAAATAATAATTTAATTTAATAATAATATTATTTAAAATTAAAGTACTTCACCAGAATGATGAATATTTGTCTTCAGAAAAGAAACCTGTTTTCTTGATGCAGGATTTTACAGAAGGACAGAAATAATCTTGAAGCACTAAGAATGCTGGCACTCCATTCATTATGCAGAGAGGGAGACGTGAATGAGGTAAGAATTATGACTTGAAAGTTTGTACAGATAGCTACTTGATAAGCATGCGGGTCTTGCATGCAGATACTACTTTTCACTAATTTGTTCATATTCAGATATTATAATTATATTGCTTCTCTTCATCAAACACAGTCAATCAATGTGTTTCTCTTGCATTTGTTGAAACAAAAAAAATCTTTTAAAAAATGAATATAAAATATCCAAATATATTGTGGTTTTATGAATTTTCCCAGTTAGTTTCCCAGTTTAAAAGTAAACGAATGAAACACACCTTAAATAACTATTATTACTGTAGCTGGGTGGCAAAGTTGTAAAACTCTTTTCAAATAAAGTTTATTTTGGCTTTTTTTTTACAGCTCCTTTGAGTATATCACTTCCAGTCTGTCCTTCCATTCCCAAAAGGAACTGTAATTTACTAAGATCTTCAGGAAAAAGGATAAACTGTTTGAAAATTATTTGTTTGTTTTTAAAGAATACCAGTTTCTTTACTTATAGAAAATACATAGATTGAGAATGATTACATAATTTACTGCAGCCGTTTCACAGACATTCATTTTTTTTTCCCAGTGTTTAAATCACCTCACTAACCTTGTTGGGAACCTGGAACGACATGAGCCTAACAATTATGAGCTTTTCTATAGGATGTCATTAGCTTTTACAAGAGTGGTAAGTGTTCGGTAGCATTGTTTATATAATTCTTTAAAGAACATAAAAATCATTTCAGATGTGATTAGGTCATTAAGATTTTTTTTTTATTAAAACATGCAAATCGTACATTAGCTCTGAATAAGAATGCTCTACTGGAAGAGAAGTGTTATATTTACACTTAATAAAATATTTGATCAGATATTTTTGTTATGTATACTAGTTTTACTGATATATAAACCCAGTATACATAATGTGAACATTATGTTCAATGTGTTTCTGTATTTTTAATAATGTGTGTTTTGACATGGTCGTAGATTGTAAAGATTTATGTTAAAAATGTTGTTGCAGTGTGGAAGAAATGAGAAGATCCTTTTGCAAATGCACACTTTGGTGGAGAGAGCTTTTTCCATGGCTCCAGGTGATGCAGAACTGGCCACTGAACTTGGCTATCAGTTGGTTCTGTGGGGGAAAATAAAGGAGGCAGTAAAGTGGTACAAAACAGCAATGACATTGGATGAGACCAGTGTCTCTGCGCTGACTGGTGAGGCAGCCCGTTCATTTATTTCTATTTTTAACATGTTGACAGAATTATTCTTCATGTGACCTTAAATTGTCAATCTGACCATTGGCATTACTGAACAAACCTTGTTAATTACACTTAAAATATTTATTTTAAAAATATTTTTTCAGGGTTAATGCAGCAGTCTTAACACTTTTATTAAATGACACAAATTGGTTAAGTTTCTCCCTGTCTATCCCTGTCGTAGAGTGTTTCTTTTGATCTTAATCTTTTTTCTTTTTTCTTGTAGGAATCATTCAGTGCCAGCTAATTGAGGGGCACCTTGAAGATGCAGAGCAACAGCTTGAGTTTCTCGCTGAAATCCAGCAGTCTATAGGAAAATCTGGGGTGAGGCCTTGAATAATAAGAGAAACAGCACAGCAATAACAATCGAGGATTCCACTGGCTCTTATGGCTATGCTGTTCCACAGATATGTTGTATCTGCAGAGAAGACTACAGATTGAAGTTTTTCAAAAAAACGTTTTTTTTTCTGTTTTAGAACATATGTAATATCTAATGTACATTGCACAGGTGGTGCAAGACCTAACAGAAACAAGGATTGTATTTGAATTCTTTAGAATATACGAAGTAGATTGAAATTTCAGACTAACATCTGCCTTTTCCTTAATTCTTTTGTTTCTTAAACCCTGTTAATTTGCAACATACAACATACAATTTTTAATTTTCAGTGATGATAAAATGTCTTTAGGAGTCTGACTGCATTGCTGCACATTTTTATCAAACTCGTTCAGTTGCATAGAAAGCAATTATTTTGCATCAAGACTTAGAGATGCCAGAATTAAGGGAAACTTTAAGGGTTACGGAAAATAATTACACATTTCTAGAATACAATTTTATAAGTACAGCTGTCTGAAATATATTTTGTTGTCAGTACAGAACATCAAGTTGAAAAAGCCTTACTGAAAATGCATTTGTTCTCGTCTAGATATTAACACATTAACACATTTTAATAGGTTTGTGTCCTTTTTTAGTGATACTTTTTACCTGTCAGCAAAAACATTTATAGGGCACATTCAGAAATAATATTATAAAAAAGTTTAAAGGGAAAGTGCTAAGTAAACCATTTTACTTTGAAAAAAACCACAGGCCCATATTTCCAAAGCTAGCAAGTAAACAAGGAACAACTGTAAGTCTTATAAAGCTGTATATTAATATATCACTATCATCTGATATTACTGATCAATAAAAACATCTTAGTTTTTATTAAAAATGGCCAAATACACTTTAATGTCTTTAAAATACTTTTAAAATATAAGAGTTTATAATAAAGAAAATCTCTTTCACCTCTTTACATATTCAGTTCTAATTGCTTACTGATACATAAAAAACTTATCTTCAAGGGACAACAAAGAGTCTTAGGACTCAAGACCTTCCCTCTGGGCCTCTGAAACTCCTGGCCTCATTAAGTCAAAAGAAACCTTACATGACTTCTTAAGTTCCTTAATGAGAAAATTTCAGGAGTATCAGTATAATACTGATTTAAGTATGCAGATATAGAATTTGGAAAGTAATTCTGAATTTTATGGTCTAAAGTAGCCTGGTATTCCTATAGTGCTTTTTAATAATCTCCAGGATCTTGGCTTCTTTCTGAGTAAAGACACACCTTAGCACACCTTTTTTTTTTCTGAGTAAGCAAATGTTAAAATATATGTATACTTACTGTTCACTTACCAGGATGTGTTTGAGAGGGTTTTTGTTGTATTGCACCACCTTATAGAAACAAATGTATTATCCTAAAGTAAACAGCAAGATTTGCCAGCTTTTTTTCCCCAGGCCTTTTGGGAATTTAATTAAGCATATGATTCTTTTAAAGCTAAAACTTAGCAGATCATAAAAAAGGTCATAGTGGATATTTAAAGCAATTTTTTTTTCATAAGACAAAAATAATTTCTGCAATAAAATAATGCAGAAAATAATATCTTGATTATATCGGCTTTGTGAATGCACCATTTAGTCCTGCTGAATTTTATAAAGTGAAAACCTTTCTCACACAGGAACTGTCATACCTGAGAGCAGTTTTAGCAGCAAAGAAGTACAAGTCTCAGGAGGAAGTCATAAACCTGCTTAATGATGCTATGGACACACATTTCTCTGCTCTGCAAGGACTGCCACTTGGGGTTGAATACTTTGAAAGGCTCAATCCGGCCTTCCTGCTGGAAATTATCAAGGAGTACATTGCTCTCTGCTCAACACAGGTCATTTTAAAGACATTTGTGTTTTTTAAGCCCTGAAATGGAGACAATGACTATAGTGCAGTATCTGAATATCCATTGAGTTCAGTAAATGCAGCCTCTGGAGAATAAAGCCGTTGGAATTTAATTTGGGAGCCTAAGGGCGGAACATAATATGTTAAAACTTCACCCATAATGTAGTTACAAAGAAATATAGTAATGAGTATCTCATTAATGGATGCATTTTCGTTTTTTAAAAATCTGTAAATGTTAAATTGTTACCAACTCTTTACCGTATTAAATCTTAATGTGACCTTAGATGATCTCTCTCTTCTTCTCCAGCCACCATCTCAAGGACGGCCTGCCTCCCCCCAGCTCAGACACTGTGCCTCAGTGCTGGAGACAGTGGTCAAGACAGTGCCTGGGCTTGTCCAGGCTATCTATCTAATGGCTAAAGTGAAATTCCAAGCAGGTGAGAGTAGATATACTGTAGTGCAGTGGAGCTTCATACTATATGTTCCTTCCTCTGTTTTTAAGGCCATGATGTACTGTAAGTGGCATATTTAATAGCTATAGCCCAAGATCAGTGCACATGATTTACAATATTTTTAATAACTGTCTAGATTTAAAGCTTCTAAAAAAATAAAATGCTGACAATAACTATGAAATACAGAAGAAACTTTAAAACTAAAATTTTGTCATTAGAGTTGCAATATCCTCTTTTCCAATCATTAGTTGTTTGCACAGTGATTTCCAGTTTAGACAATAAATCCCATAAAATTCTATTACTATACAACATAGTATAGTAATACTATTATTGTAATAATAATATTATTACTTATGCTACTATAAGTAAAGTAAAGAAAGATTTAGAGGTGTCTCACACAGAGATGCACTAAAGCTTATTATAATGTATCATACACAGATTATGTTTTTAAAAAGCTGTTTATGTCTCACATAGGTGATATTGATGCTGCCCAAAGTAGCCTGAAACACTGTTTAGAACAGAATCCATCCCACGCCGATGCTCATCTGCTGATGGCACAAATTTACCTGTTACAAGGAAATTTTAAACTCTCTTCACATTCCCTGGAACTGTGCCTGAGTTATGATTTCGAGGTGAGTCATGTGATGTGGTTTAGCTTGTTGTCTAAAAATTGAACAAAGAGTATTACTGATTAATTGCAAATGTTTTGATGTGTACATAATTTCGAATTTCTCTGCTCCAGACTGACTGGTCTCTCCAATAGATGATCAAAGAGTCATATTGCTTTTGATTAACTGCTTATAAAGAAACCTTTTTTAAAATATTGCAGGTTTTTAGTTTACTTTTGAATTATTATGAATACAAATCATACAGTATTACATCATTGTGGTAAGAGTTCCACATTAGTGCTGCCTGCAGAAAGACTTCACATTCGTAAACTTTTCTTCACTATCCAGAGTTTTGAAAGCCATTTGGTTCTAATATGCTGTTTCTAGTGATATATACAAGAGGAAACCAGGAAACGTGATTGCTTGCTTCATATTACTTCTTCAAAAGCTTCTCTTAAACACTTAATTTATAATTCGACAATATACTGGCAGTAGATTGGTGATTAGTATCAGAATATATTCTGTATTGTACCTGTGGTGGTCTAATAAATTCCAAATATTTTTTACAAAATTATATGAGATTTACTTTGTGTAATATGACATTCTACTTCATTAGTGGAAATGCTGTATTCGAGTTTTTAGAACTGATGTGTGTTGCCTTGTTCTCCCAAATCTAGATTAGAAATGAATGTAGATAGCAGTTTACTCTATGATAAATCGGGATTCATGTGAATGCTTTTGTGGCACAGTGTTTAGAATCTCTTCTACTACGTTAGGAAAGATAGTATCATCTATTGCAAGCTCAGATGATAAAAGAGGCTTTGTTCACATGGCAGTTCACTGTCATGCTTTGTCTAATATTTATCTGTAGGTGCGGGAACATCCTCTGTATCACCTGATTAAGGCACAGGTCCAGAAAAGAATGGGACAGGTGCAAGAAGCCATTCAAACCCTACAGATAGCCATGGCTCTACCAGGAAGGAAGAGATCTGGTAGTTCTTCAAAATCCAAAAGTAGAAAAGTGGAAATCAGCCCCACTGACTGTGTGTCCATCTTCCTGGAGTTAGCAGAAGCCCACTGGCTGAATGGAGAACAGGTAGAGACGATTCCATGGGGAAAAAAAACTATTTGAGAAATGTTTCCCTTCACTGTTACTATGTTCACTCTCCATTTTATTGATTAGTTAAAATATATATATTCAAATGTAAAATTGGTGGATGTTGCCTGATTTTTTTTTTTTGTATTTCCAGCACGAAGCAGCTAAAGTGATGCAGGATGCCATCAACGAATTTTCTGGGACTCCAGAAGAGCTGCGCGTCACTATAGCTAATGCAGACCTGGCTCTGCTTCGGGGGGACACAGAACTGGCCCTTAGTATGCTTCGGAACATTACGCCAGAGCAGCAGTACTACATTCAGGCCAAAGAAAAAATGGCAGACATTTATCTGCATTACAGAAAGGAGAAGCGCCTCTATGCTAGTTGTTACAGGTAAAAACAAGGATGTTGTATAAATCGGTGATATATTCAATATACATCAGTCATACTTTAGAAAGGGTAATCCAAATGACATGGGTGTTGTAGATGTATATCAATGTCAAGTGGGCGTTTAAAAATATGCTTACTAATGCTGCAAAAGTCTACTCCCAATAGTTGCATCTGGAAAAAGGGCAGTGGGTGCCATGGTCGTCAGTGTTCGGGAAGAATGGTTGTTAGTGTCTTAAACATTTATGTTTGCAGGGCATTTACTGAAAGCTGCAAAAGCACACATTCATAGAAAAAAATCAGGAAAAGGACAAGTGAATATGCAAATCTGTGAATGTTTATTTTGTCTTCAGAGACTTGGTGGAGAAACTGCCTAGCTCCCATACATATCTCTTATTGGGAGATGCCTATATGAACATTCAAGAGGTAAGTTTGAAACTAAGTAAAAAGTTTAATTTATGCACACGTCTGATATTTATTCCATACACAATCCTTTACCAAAATGGCACTTCAAAGGGTAAAAGAAATGAAGTGGTTACCCTGTTTCTACTCGTTGTATAATAATACAGCCTCTTGAGAGTCCTTCAAAGTACAAAATCTTCACACTGGCATTGCTTTGAATTTTTCTTTATGGTTATTTGTGTTCGTTATGAGTAACGTCTAGCAATGCGATGAAACAAGATCAAATACATAACATCCATGACAAGCATTGTTCTTTTCTAACATATTTCAAGAGGTTTTATCTTTGCTTCTTTTATGCATTTTTATGTATTATTCAAATATGAATTAGAAAAAGAGTATCAGTGGAATTAAAGTAATTTTTGTACCATCGTAGTACCAGTAAAGTGTGCACTGCACTAAATATCTATAATGGTAATATTTGTGATCATCTAGTTTATCCAGTATATAAGCATACTGTATAAGTAGTACTTTCTTGTGATTTAAAAAAATGTACAAATTATTAAAGTAATTTGTCCATAGTTATTTAAGATTAATGTTAAGACACTATGGAAGTGTTTTTTTACCTATGTTTTATGATGTTATGAAGTGCGTGGAAAGCTGTTTTGTTTATTTTTTACTTTAACATTCAAAGCCAGAAAAGGCAATTGAAGTCTATGAACAAGCGTTAAAGAAAAGCCCCAAGGATGGTGCCTTGGCCAGCAAGATTGGTAAAGCCCTGGTTAAAACTCACAACTATTCTAAGGTATGTTGGTTGTATGTTTCACCTCTTGATTTATTCTAATATACTGTACACAGTTTCTTGTGCATTCAGGATTTTTACATGTGTTTAAATGTTAAACATACAGAACACCTAATCAGCCACCGCAGTACATACATTGTTAAATGTTTGTGAAACTGTGAAAGGCAACAGCTTCAGCTTTCTCTGTTGAAGTGGAATTCAGCTGAATTGATTTGCCGTCCTCCTCTGACTCCTTTGCTCTTCCTCCTCCTTGTAGGCAATCAATTACTATGAAGCAGCACTCAAGAATGGTCAGCAGAATTTCCTTCGTTATGACTTGGCAGAGCTTTTACTTAAACTGAGGCAGTGTGAAAAATCAGAAAAGGTTTTACAACAGGCACTAGATCATGAAACAGGTACTATATTGCAAATTTAAGTTCAATTTGTGTAGAAGAATAAGAAATACCTTTTTTTATCGCTGAACATTGTATTCCATAGATGTCCATGCACTTGTTTACTCACTTTACATCTGTAAGATTTAAAGACATCTGTAGCTTTGTTGTTAGCTCATACTTTATTGATCGAGAATGCAGCTACATTTAAAACATTATTTTTTAAAACCTCTTAGCTAGCCATTTAATTACATTTCTTTTTTGTTTACCTGATTTTCCAGACTATTTACCACATTTGTCAGGGATTGTCATATTTGTTTTAAATGATAGCTTAACTTTATCTGTATCAGTCTGCAATGGAGCATCTGTTAGCCGAATTGATGGATCATTGTTTTTCAGTGAATGATCTCGCTGAACTAACTGAAGATGGCCGCTATCTAGTTCTTTTAGCCAAAATTCAAAGCAAAATGGAGAAAAGTGAACAGGCTCTACTCTCCTTACAGAAAGCAAGTATTTGAACATTTCCATTTGGTAACCTAGCAGTGTGTTACAGTCATTTACTTACAGTACAAAGTAGTGAAATGCATTGCCAATATGGATACTTGTTGCAGTGTGATAGATAGACAACAGGTCCATGTGAGCACGTAATCTTTTGGGTTTTTTTTTATCAGAGCCGCTCTGACCTGTTAAAATGAAATTGCTGAAATATACAAGATGAAATGTTGCAATCCACTGCGACTCTAATAACTAAGATTCTTGCTCATGTGAAATGTGTGGATTTATTCTCACAGCATAAAATGTCTCGTAGGCGAGAGACGTGCAAGCTCGAGTGTTGAAGCGGGTGCAGCTGGAGCAGCCTGATGCAGTTCCTGTGCAGAAACAGCTAGCAGCAGAGATCTGTGCAGAGATTGCCAAGCACTACACATGTCAAAGAGACTATGAGAAAGCCATCAAATTCTACAAAGAGGCGCTTGTTTATTGTGAGAGTGATAACAAGGTTGGTTCAGTGGTCGATTTTTGCTCTGTGATACACGTTCTATTCTCAGTGCAGCTGTGTTTTTTCAACACTTTGCATCTCAATATCCTCTTCGAACACTCTTCTACTATCTAAACGCACTGTTTCTCTTTCATTCTTTAAAGATTTAGATATTTGTGTCAAGAAAAATAAATTATTTTCTTCTATGTGTTGAAAATAGTTTTGTATAATTTTCTGTACAAGAAAAAGAAGGGATGTGACCTAGATTTTATAAATGCTGATATTACAGGTAATATGTTGTATTTCCATTTACTTTTCTGATTATAATGCAATACTAAGGTACCTGAACCTCAGTAAGCTGTGGTGTATTGAATACTGTTGTGGAAGTCACTCATTTAATACTCTATGATTGTCTTAAGTATTATGATACATATAAATCTCATTCTTAAAAACATGCAAAGATCAGTTGACTACAGTATTATGAGGTGTGCACATTTTCATACATCCAACATGTTTCTTCAGGCTGCTAAGCAAAGCACTTGTGAAAATGAAGGACACAAAAGTAGGATGGCAAAAAACACCCATTGAAATCCACACATTTTGACAAAACAGTTTATTCATGGTTAGGGTGGCAGTGAGCTATAATGTGAGAGGAAACCATAATATCTGAAGAAAACCCTCACAATGCAAGGAGAGCAGGAAAACTCCTCACAGGAGTGGCCTCTGTCTGGAATTGAACAAAAGCCCATGCTAACCGTTCTGCTTTTTAACAGTAATTCCCATTTTGATATTTTAAGAAACCCCGTCTTGTTTACAGGTGATGTTGGAGCTGGCACGGTTATACCTTTCTCAGGATGACACAGAAGCATGTCAGCATCAATGTACAGTACTTCTTAAAAATGATCAGGATAATGAAGCTGCAACCATGGTGAGCAGCTTTCAGTTTTATTTTTTATCATACGACTTTAGCATTTGTACTTTAGTTCTGCCTAGCAGTTGGTGTTAACAGTATGGTCTTTTGTTTTGCTAGAACTAATTATATTAACTGAATACGCATACCCTGTATCAAACGCACTTTTACGCTTAATCCATTGACTTTCTTTGCAGATGATGGCTGATCTCATGTTCAGGAAGCAGGATTATGAGCAAGCTGTTTTCCACTTTCAACAGCTTTTAGAGCGTAAACCAGGTTAGATCCAACATTTGCCTTCTTTCCTTACTGTACATGCAAAATATTTCATAATGCTGTCTGCAAACGTAATACAGACTGATTGGAAACCATCTTTCCTACACTTGTTCTTGCTAGACAACTACCCAACACTGTCACGTTTAATTGACTTGTTAAGAAGAGCAGGAAAACTGGAAGAGGTCCCAAAATTTCTAGAGATGGCAGAGAAGCATTCTTCAAGAGCAAAGCTAGACCCAGGATTTAACTACTGCAAAGGGCTTTACCTGTGGTAAATATATATTTTTAATAATGATTGAGCTTGGGATTTTTTTTCCATCTCTGTAGCATTTACAAGTTAAAACCTTTTGATGCACGAAAGTTCAAAATAGTGCCTTATCCTCAAACGTGTAATTTCACAATTACTGGTTACTTTTTCTGAAGGTTCACGGGGGAGCCTAATGATGGTCTTCGACATTTTAACAAGGCTCGCAAAGATAATGACTGGGGGCAAAATGCTGTTTACAACATGATTGAAATTTGCTTGAATCCAGACAATGATACAATGGGAGGTGAAGTGTTTGAAAATCTAGATGGTGACATTGGGTGAGTTACAGCTTAAGTTATACAGGAACTTTGTCTTTAGTTATCTCTGTCATTAGGAATGTTTTTTTTTTCCTGGAAAGTATTGATTAAACCATTTAATTTTAGAACAAAAGAACATTTGAACATGTGAGACATGTTTGTAATTTTGAGAAACTTCAGAAACAAGGTATTCAGAATGCATTATAAATGTAGTAGAAACTTACTTTGTCTCATGTCAGAATAGAGTAAATTACAGAATATTCAAAAATTTTCTAAGCCTTATGTTGAGTGTCTGATATTTGATGAAAAATACTGTAATACATTTTTTGGTCTTTACAATTTTTTTTAATTCATTTTGCATTATGTGATTATTGTTAGAGAATATGTGCAATATAATTGTTAGAATTGATCATTTTTAAGTATCATTTCATTTTTGCAGTAACTCCACAGAGAAGCAAGAGTCTGAACAGCTGGCTGTAAGAACAGCAGAGAAACTCCTGAAGGAGCTGAAACCACAGACCCCTGATGGGCATGTTCAGTTACATATCATGGAGAACTACTGCCTCTTGGCAACCAAGCAGAAAGCAAATGTTGAAAAGGCACTAAATGTTTTCACAGAAATTGCAAACACAGAGGTAAGTAAACTTTAAAAGATGGGAGTATACATGAAATGCCCTCTGGGTAAATTTAAACAGCTTGGTAAGAATGTATTTTTATGATTGTTTTGTACAGTAATGGAGGAGACTTTCTTTTGCAGTATTCAGATTAATGTTTATACAAAAATCAGTCACCAGTCAAGCTTAAATTATCTAATTTAAATAATATCAAGATGAGTATTGCCCATTTATTTTACTACCTTTACCTACTGTATATGACCTAGCTGTAGTTTTACTTTGGTACTATTTCTTTAAGGTGATATGAGTCAGTCTTCTTAAACAATTAACCAAACCCTTTTGTAAGACAATTTAAGAAAATATGCTACAGATACAATTTGCCATTTTGCTAATTATTAATGCCACTGTGCAATCCTACAATGTTGAATAAGTGGTGCCGAGTGATTCCTAAGCAGAAATGAAGGTGATAGTAATTTCTGAGATATTTACCATGGTAATCCCATAGTCACCGTTTGTTTAACATTTGTCATATTTCTCTCGAACAAGTAATACCTACAGTAGTTGTAGTATTGTAAGGTAACTACTCAACTGCAGCAAGGTGTCTTTTTCTACAGAAAGATCATGTGCCTGCACTGCTTGGTATGGCAACAGCTTATATGATTCTGAAGCAGACTCCAAGGGCAAGGAACCAACTGAAACGCATTGCAAAAATGAACTGGAATGCCATAGATGCAGATGAGTTTGAGAAAAGCTGGCTGCTTTTGGCTGACATTTATATTCAGTCGGGAAAATATGACATGGCAGGGGAATTACTAAAGCGCTGCCTTCGTCATAATAAGGTAAGAACAGATCAAAGCATTATGTAGACCTGAACACCTACAGTACGTGTTTAACTGCTTAGGTTTGAAGGATCACCAGACAGTTAAAGAATTTGCTGGATATAAGATAAGATAATATTTTATTGTCCCCTGAGGCAAACAATTGCTTTCTCTTATGGACTGAGGAGTAGAGTTTAATTGATCACAAAGTGTCACAGATAGATGCCAAAAAATGTGCTCTGCCTCTGTCAGTGCTACCTGTGTCTCTTGCGCTTACATTTAAAATGAGGGCTTGTTGGCTGATTTAAAAGTGTGAGGTTGTCACCTTGGAGGCTCAGAAGACGTTTTCACTGACTGTATGTCCCACGCCCACTTTTTTCATTTGTTTGTTTTTTTTTAATTAATCTAGCATCTCCCCTCCATTGCTCGAGGCATCTGATGGGGACATTTCCAATCTTATAAAGCATCTAACAGTAGAAGGGATTGTCGCTTTTAATGTAGTAACTAATACCTTGGAGATGTTTGGTCACAGCCCGTTGGAGAAATTTGTGGGAGGCACTGAAACACTTGGCAATGCAAACCAACACAATGTACCTATATAACAAATGTAAAAATGCATCTAGAAACAGAAAAACACACACCACTGGGAAAAAGAATCGTGCAAAAAGTAAAATGTAAATATTTAAGCAACAGTATTTTTTGTATTATTAATGTAATTAGTTGAACTACAGTTCTATTGAAATTAGTTTTCTTATAAGACATGCCATTACAAAATCCAAGGGCTATGGGAGGAAAGTAAAGATGAAATTACATGCCTGCCTGCCAGCTTTTCTTTGTTTTCCCAGCTCTCTCCCTATTATGTAAATCTAAAGTGCTCAATAAGGGAATCTGTGCAAGATTCTCCACCCACATCAGGCATATCTGTGTAATCAGCACAGTCAATAAGGTACTTAATATAAGACAGTCTTCAGCCTCTGTGATTCACTTGGATAATGAAGACAGAGAAGGACCCTTACTCTCCCCATTTAATGTCTTTGAAAGACTATACGTGTAAAAATATAACTCTCAAGCCTTTTTGGGACCACAGAAGTAGCACATTACTATGAAGAGTATCTCCTTGTTGAGGCATCTGAATCTTCATGCAGCATATCACACAGTTCAGTCATTAACATATTAAATATGTATTTTAGATTAGATGCTAGACACAATCCAAGGAAATTAGATATATTTGAGAAATATAAAATACAAATTAAAAATATTTGATATGTGAGATAGGGTCGTCTTCAACTATGTAGTCTTCAATGTAAAAAATAAAGCTTATTATTCCCACAGATGCTTAATGCGAACACATTGTATTTTTGCACCATGTGTGAGGATGTACAGTATAGTGTCTGTATGGAGGGAACACAAAATCAAGACCAGGGTGTTTATATTAGGATTGCATGTATGTAATATGAATGCAGTGCAGCTGATAAATGCATTGGCACAGCATCTCAAGATGGGAGACAGAGCTAGACAGTTCACAGATACAAATCATCACAAGTTGCAAGTAGACAAGGTGCCAGACATAGATGTACTGTACAGTACGTGACCCTGCAAACTTCTGTAGGTCTATCTCCACACCTGCGCTGTTTTGAGTGACATGAAACAGTAAATATTTTCAGTTCTGAAAATAATGTTACATAAATGTTCACTGCAACTGGTCTAAAACCTCTCTGGGGTTACCACATATTACCTGATAAAAACTGCATATTTTATTCTCCAGTTTAGAAGAAATAAAGATTATTACTGTAAACTGAATTACATTTTAATTCCATTATGTAGTTCCGGGCATCAAACTGTAAAGGAGATAAGGTTTTCTAGTTAATGTTTGTATTCTTCCTGCAGTCCTGTTGTAAAGCTTATGAATATATGGGCTACATCATGGAAAAGGAACAATCATACAGGGATGCTGCACTAAACTATGAAATGGCATGGAAATATGGAAATCAAACCAATCCCACTATTGGTATGTTAATATTACTGTGAAAATTAAATTAAATGTTTTTGAGGTCACTAGCAGAATATATATTAACACTGCATATTTTAACCTGTACTATTTTACTCAAGATAGTTTCAAATGTACTTGAGTTCAGGATAATAGTAACAGTGCCAGCAACAACTTCATACTTGTTGATTCATTTAATGAGTGTTTGCTGATTCTGAACTGTTTTCTATTTTATATTCTAGGGTACAAGCTTGCATTCAATTACTTGAAAGCAAAAAGATATGTTGATGCCATTGATATATGCCATAAGGTAAGAAATGTGTTACCCAGAGAGATCATCGTTCAACCATAAATTGAAATAAATCATGTTAATTTATTTAACACCAAAAAGTTAAAGTTAATTTTTAAAATAAAAATATTAATTTGGCCAATTAAAAAATAAAAACTTGCTTTATATGAATGGTTATTGTTTATACCATGCAAATTTTGATTGTGATTATTTTACACATGGGCAGCATGGTGGCACAGCAGTTAGCATTGCTGCCTCTCAGCGCTGGGGCTCTGGGTTCAATTTTGAACCTGGAGTGCTTTCTGTGTGGAGTATGTATGTTTAGTTTACTTTTTTGTAACTTATTTACCATGAATATTAAATATTATTTCACAATTTATTGTATTTTTTCCCCACAAGTACACTTTTATATTAAGTGCTTACCCAGACATTTTTGTCACTTCTTGTATTTCTTTTGTTTCTACTGATTCCACAAAACTGCTGACAACATAAAATAGCTATTAAGTTTTATTTTCTTTTCCATGTCTGAAAATCTTTTGCTTTTATGTTTTTTGTAGGTTTTGGATGCACACCCTAATTATCCAAAGATGAGAAAAGATATTCTTGACAAAGCACGAGCAGCTTTAAGATCCTAGGTCAAAGTTTCTTAGTGTATTATTTTTATTTATGGACACAGTGGTTTTGACTCTTTACACGTACAAAATTCAGCGCAACTGGGAATATTTTAAAAGTCCTTTTCTTTTTAGTATTGGAAACAACTGCCTATTAAAACCATGTAAAGAATTTAAATCATAGTGATATGTTCATTTGTACTTTACACTTTTGTTTGAGCAAAGTGCATCATATAGTAACTGTAAAAATGAAAATGTAGTTGTCACTACATCTTGAAACGATTTTGATTGATGATTAGTGACTGTCAGTTTTCAAAAACATCAGTGCTTCTATTGTTGTGTGTAATAAACATTATGAAATTGTGTTTTATGTAATTAAAACCAAGTGTTAAAACAGCAGCTCACTATTAATATTGATAATATTGTTGTGAACTGCTGCTAAGAGGTGACAGAGGTGATAACATGCCCATTACATGTGCACATGGGCAACTAATAAACCTCAGGGTACTGCTCTAGTCATTTTTCAGCACTGCAAATTGGCTCAGAGGTTGGATGTATTGTAAATCTAGGTGAGATCTTATCGTGATTCACCTTACATATTCTCATGTAGACTTGCCTATTGTTTAGTGGAAGCTCTACCCTCTTTGCAGGAAGGTCTTTTGCTATAGATGGTTGTATTTTTTGTACTGCTGGCATTCCCCTTGTAGGAAGTCTGCCAATAAATTATACATAAAATGTTTTTGAAGGATAAACATGTTTTGATTCCTGTCTCTTGTCTTAATTTTTGTACCATTGAACCCACTTTTTTAGAAAAAAAGAATGCAAAGGTAAACAATTTGGTTTTCAAAGTACCCTTCTCTTAATATGTGAGTATAACTAAAGCTTTCTGAAAGCTACGATCAGAATCATATTTCTACGCCAAGTACATTTCATGTAAAGGAATTTAATCAATCAAAGTTTATTTATCAAATGCATAACAATACAGCATACAGCGGTGGTTGTCAGCAATGAAATGCTTTTTCCGCAATCTCGCATGGAGAGAGAGGACAGAAGTTCATAGAATTTACGACTCTGGTATATTTGATGCTGCAAAAACATTCGGTATATACAGTACTGTACCATACACAAACAAGACAAAGGACCTCATTAAAACAATGCAAATACTGTATAACTGGAAGTTCTGGATAAGCAAAAAGACAGCTTTGGGAAACAAGCTGTTCAACTACTGTGAAGCTTATGAAACAGCTGGTAACTTACTGTAGGTGGGAAGGGTCATCAGTGATTGGAGTAGGCAGATACATTGCCAAACCAAGCAATTGTAGAGGCAGTCAGAATGCTCTCTAAAATGGCCCTGTAAAACTGTATCAGAATTGACACCAAAGTTACCAAATTAACACCTGTTTCAGAGACACAGTTTTTAAGCTGGTGCCAAAGGTACAGTACATTCTTTGTTGTGCTTTCTTTGTGATACTAGTGATATTTATGTCCCATTTCATGGTATTGGAGATCATAATTCCCCCCAAATGTAAAGGACTCCACTGCTCTCACAGCCACACCATTGATTATCAGGGAGAGGGTTTCAGAGAATGTGTTCCAAAAATCAACCTACACTTCTACTGTTTTAAGGCAATTAAGCTCCAGGTGGTTGCTATCTCACCATGTTACCGACAGACTCGCCTCCCTCTTGTACATGGTCTCATCGTCATGAGTGATGACACCTACTGTTCAAGAGTGATGTCACCTGCAAACCTAATTACTGTCATGGAAGAGTTGCTGGAGGTGCGGTCATTGGTGTACAAGAAATAAAAGCACACACATCCTTGAACTACACCAGTATTCACAACTTAGAGAGTGTATCAAAAGGATTTCTGAATGATACTTTAGTTATTTTTAATGCTATTTGGTAAATAACATTGAGTGGAAACTTTAATTTTACAGTTGAAAGATGTACTTGTTCGGATTTGAAGACTGGTGTTATTCTGCAACATAAAAGGATTGATACCTTTATTCTTACTCTAAGGTAATAAAGCTGTTTTTCACACTTATTCAATCATGGGAAATTAACAGTACTTGCATATCTCTTTTAATCCCAAAAGATCCCAAAGCACATCACATCATCCTCCACTGAAGTGCCATACAGTCATACACCAGATCAGATGAAGAATTAAGAATTTACTTCACTGGTTGAATTAAGGGGGAAACTTGAATGATTTGCTTTCAGGAGCTCAGTTTAACATCTGATCTCAAGCATAGCATCTCTAGCAGAACAGTGCACCTGTTACATTGGTTTGGAATTTCTGGTTCACTAGCACCATGTATAACATCAAAATTGATTTCTTTAGAAGGTCTCCCATTCCTGTATCAAACGGTTTCTGCCTTGCTTAGCTTCTGAGATCCAGTAAAATCACACTACATGGGGGTAACACTGCTCTCAGATTATTCTTTAAAATTAGAACATTTTATTTTGCTTAATCAGATGGTGATAAATTGGATAAAATGTTATTTAAACCTTTTAGCTTTACCATTGTGAGCAAACTGATCAATCTGACCACACGTTGTTCACACTGCGAAATTGATACACTGCGTGTCAATTATGAAGTTACGGTAGGTGATTAAACTAGGATTTGCTGCATGTTCGACCACAGAACATGCAATTTAAAATGGGCTGAGGCATACCATTTTCTGTGGGCAATCCCACAGATTTTTACACCAGTGGGAATACGGTGACTCTGACACTTCACTGGTTTAAGGTTTTGTAATTCCTGCTTGGCAAGTAAAGAAACTTTCCTCCCACGCTGTGGGGTTGAAGACTGCAGGAATATTTGAGGTGACTTTGCAATAGTTCCAAATACTCCTACTGCACATCAGAGTATTTTATTAATAACAACACGAGAATACCGAGTGTCAAAATTGAAACTGGTGTTCAAACGTCAGTATTTTAGTAGTTTTCTGTATATTTCAATATAATATTGTGGTATTTTTAGTGTTGGTAATTTTACATTGTGTATTTCCCATTTTTTACAGTTTTTGTTATTTTAGCGGTGTTAGCCCAAAACTTTCACTATAAACATAGACAGAACAATAGTGCATTATTACATTTTTCTGGAAATGTTAATAAGTTATTAGTCCATATCTCTGTTAATCTAAATATACTGATGTGCAACAAGTCCTAATAGATTTCCAAGCTCTTCTAATGCCCGTACATTCAACAAAAGTCTGGTGGAAGAACTGCATTGATGCTCTGCAAAGCACTGAAAATAGTACTTCTTTTCTGTCCCCCGACTGAAGCCGAATACCGCGATCTGAGCACAATTTCTTCATTGTTTGGAGTCATGGGCTCAGAAGACTGCACTATCTATTATTGATAAGAATCGGGAAGCAAGGAAACGAGGACATTTGCAGTACGTGCGTTGGCTTATATAAGTTAAAAAAATCTTTAAACTGAGTTCAGATCTTTTTAATTTAACGTAACTTTAATGATGATTTCGTCTTTATGTGATGACTGACCACACCGCTACAGGTACCAGGAGGGGGGTTGGGGGGATAGAACAGAGGCATTTTAACTTGCTCAAACTTTTCGAGGGTGTTGACAGAAAACTAGTAGGATTTCTCACTCGAATGGCCACCATCTCCGGCTCCTAGTCTTTACCCCCCTAGCCTCACTACCAGTTTATGAACACCATCTGCAAGGAATGACTTAGCAAATGTGAACATTGTGGAAGGTGTACTTCACTCTGACTTAAATGTTCGGTAAGTTTTTCATTTCTTTAAAAAGTGGAAATTTAGTAACTTCTCTCGATTTAACTGCGCACTCGGTGCAATCGTATTTCACCATGGAAACGCGTAAGCAAGCACCTCAATGTGTTTCTCTTCAGTTGTGTTTTAATATCCCTTTTTACGGCTTAAGCATCGCTCGCTTTACATTCTTACCGCATGTTTCTTCGTGTTTGTATCACAAGAACGCGAATTACACCTCTTTTATTAATCGATTAATACAATCACCATTTAGTAACCGTAATTGCGATAACAAAGTGTTATTAATGGATTATTAAGAGTAATCTTATATTTTTAAATTGACAGGTTTATTAACAACTGTGAACTTCACAAGTCATTTTTTTAAATACTTACAACGTTGTGTATTCGCTATACTTCTTAAAGAACTAAACTACTTGGTTGTCTTCTGTTCGTTCTTGGAGGTTTTTTCTCTATAGGTAGCGCAGTTGGATATAGTAGGTTCAAAAGCTTTATACGTTCCTTGGCGTACTGTTACCCAGCAACAGTTTCACTGAATGGCTGGCTGAGCAAATCTTATTACTTAAAGAACTGGCACTTCTATAGAATAGCCATAGCATCCTGCTGGGGTGGGGTGAAATAAACTGTTCCCCAAACTACAGAAGACGAAACTCGTTTCACCAGACAGGCAACTTACAATTGTTTGAGCTTCAAAGTACTTCAGAGTTAAGAAAGACTATCCGCTCCCATTCCAGTAAGAACATTATTAATAAAATATATTACACAAAAGCTGAAGACGTGTCGTAACTCTTAAATTATGCTTGACTTTGTTCATAATGCATGATGGTACGTCCACAGAGCCTGGATTTAAAAACCTTCACCATCTTTTACTTTAATGCACAGTTACTTGTGAGGGTCACATTGAAGTATTGGTGGCCCATTTAAAACAAAAGAGCTTATTTGCATACTAGATAAACTGTTTTGTAAAACTGGGTTGTAAAATTCTGACGCTAAAGGCAGTGCATCAAAGTAATGATTGTACCGTTTGCGTGATTAACATACAGGTATGTAGAAGTGCGCAAACCAGTTACCTCGTATACGATTGTAGAGGTAATAATCTGTACGTAATAGATTGATTATAATGTGTGCCATAAGATGAAACTGGTGCAAGAAATAAGCATTTGGACTTTCCACTACTCTCTACTAAAACTCGTAAAGACCATTCCAAATTCATTTTCTCTAATTACAAATTCCTAGGAATCCTTATAAATACAATGTTTATAGGCACTACATGTGCTGCTTCTATATCTCACTGATTTTTAAGCCTTCTGGATCTGATGTAACGTACCTGGATCTTGTTGTTCATAAGCACAGACATTAGGTATATTTAGAAAAGTTGTTAAATTTGTGCTTTTTTATTCAAGAGACAATAACATTTAAACAAGCTTAGGTCCTGTTTTCACTGATCATGGTCAGAAGTAATGTACTGTAAGTTAAATCTATCAACCTACATAAGGATATATCTTAAACATAAAACTTACTACAATTAAAAGGCCAAATTCCATTTTATTTACAATAAACATGTGTTTTAGAACGATATTACCCTGTACTTGCGCAGTGTATATTTTTTTAAAAGATCTACGTCCTCAGGTGTATCGTTTTGCCTTTGAGAAACCCTATTTACGCAAGCGTACTTTGAGATCTCCTCCCTCTACCTGTATCTAAGAGCTCACCTGGGTCCAACGAGACGGAAGTAGTTTACAGTGATTTGAGTGTCTGAATCCAGAGTGCTGACTGTTACATGAAGGAGTCACCACATTTATGTTTTTTTTTTTTACAGGAAACGCACGAATTTGACAAAGTTTGAACTGTTGAATCTAAATCCATCCGCAAACATCTAATCTTAAAACGCCCAAACTGTGTTGTGGAGTATGTCGAACAGGTAGGAAATTCCAAATTTATTGAAAGCATGGGTAATTCTCTATACATTTTTGGGGGGATTTTATGTAACGATTAAGAACACAACTTACCGAAATATTCAAGCTTTGTCAGTCTGTGTTTTGACTTTACATTATTTCTATGAGTACTTACAAGAAGCAGATGTTTGTTAGTTTCTTTTTCTGTTACTGTTTTCTGGTATCTAGTATCATTTAACACCCGATTCCAGGCATACTGCTTTCTGTATGACTGTAATGGCACAGTATTTCAGTTGGGAAAAATCAAATTTTGAGTTCACGGGTATTGATATGTATTTTACGTTGACAGTATCAATTTTGCTTTTTTTTAAAGATTTTTAGCGTAACCAAATTTTTTTAATACTAAAAAAAACGAAACAGATCTAAAGGTATTACAGTAACTATTACGTTTCTAAAAAGTAAAAGTTTTTTTTTGGTTTGAAAGACACAATTTAGGAACGTTTTCAGAAAACCAAACCCAAAAAAACTAATAAAATGTCTTGGGTATAATAATTTAAAGGTTAGGAAGCAGAATAACATGATAGTATTCTCCTGTATCCTTAAAGGAGATTACTCAATTTCTCAAAATTGTTACATATTATTTTATGTAGTATGCCTCTCACAGCATTGCCAAATCTGACACCTGTTCTCTATTAATACTATTATGGGAAAGATAAATCTTTTCTGTTCAATTAGTAGCATAGAGGGTCAATCAGTAAAACATTCCAACAATACTGTGGCATCCTGAATATTTCCCATTCATTTTCAAACCCTTTTTTTTCCTCAAAAATATCTGGCAGTGGTGAATCCTTGGGTTTCCAAAATCAGCAATTCATTTTGCTAGACGTGTTTTCAGGGTTAAATAGAAAATTAAAACACATTATCATTTGCATTTTAATGAAATATAAATTGCAAGAACATTACCTGTGGCATACCTCCACATAAACATATTTGAGTGTTTCCTACAGAGGGAATGTATATTAATATTAATATTCCAAATTATTATTTTTTAGGCAAAATGGCACAGACAACATCCATGTCCCCATTATTCCTGGTTCTGGAAAAGTTATTTTGAAATGGAAATCATATTTTTAAAAAGCAAAGAAGCTCATCTATGTAAGCTGTACATTTTAAAACATTTTGCTAATGGACTGCTATAATTTCAGTAAAAAATATAAATGTTCATGCTGCCTCAACATCAGCCAACAATCAAGTAATGAATCCTTACACCTTTTTCTCATTAGTGTGGTATAGCACCTACAGTATATCATTTTCAAATAAAGTCACTTATAAAGAAAGATTTATGAAAAAAGTGTTTCCTTGAGCTCAAATGTGTTTTCTTCTTTTTTTTTGTAGTACTGGCTACTGATGATGCAACCAACTTCATGTATGTCATCCAAATCTTTACCTCAAAGTGCTTAACATTACTTTTTTCCATATACTGGACATCGTAAGCAAACATGACTGCCTTGCGGCGCTTTTTAAGAAGGCGATTGTTTCCCTGGAAACTGGCAATTTTTGCCCTAATTTTTATAACCTTCTTGTTTCTAATCCAACGTGAAGTTGTGAGCAGTATTCCAAAGGAGGAACCATGGCTGAAGGACATTGTTAACAAGAGAGATGCCGTGTTGGGAATGATGATGGGGGCTGTCAATAATTTCAGGGACTCCATGCCAAAAATGCAGATCAAGGCGCCTCTAAGGCAGTCCGGAGGGGGCGATAGCCACCCTTGTTTGCCGGGATATTATACGGCAGCAGAGCTCAAGCCAGCCCTGGAGAGACCACCTCAGAACCCCAATGCTCCTGGAGCTTCCGGGAAGCCTTTCCACACAGACAAGCTCAGCCCAGCAGAGCAGAAGGAAAAGGAGAAAGGAGATGAGAAGCACTGCTTTAATGTGTTTGCCAGTGATCGGATTTCATTGAGCAGAGACCTTGGACCAGACACCAGACCACCTGAGTATGTAATCTTTTAATTGTTCAATAATATTCCTTTCATCATTGTGGCTTTATAGCGCTGCCATTGCCATCTCTTTTCAGTATCCTCCCAAGTGTAGATAAATATTGTCTGGATCTAATCATATTCATTCTCTAGGGCTATTCCTATAGCCAAACCAGGGATCATACTCTGAAGCTGTGTGGAATGTGGCAGCCACTCTGAACTGGCCTGGCATGAAAGATCCTGACCATGGGAGAGTCCAAAAAGTAGAAGAGAATGGTATTTGCAGAACTGAGGAAAATGAAAGGGATAGGAAATGATTTAGACATGCTAAATTTCATTGCATCTTTATAATTCAGTTGTCATTTATTTTGTCTCATTTTCCTCAAGTTTGCAATATTCTTTAGGATCTTTCTTGAGATAACAAATGGAAAGTGAATTTACACATAAACCTTTAAGGGAACTTTGATTTACCACAGCATCCTTTATAGAATTACGAAATGTGTTAGATTTTTGTTGAAGTGAAGAAGATTTTGAAACGGCAGTAAACTGTGTTCTAAACATTGTAGCAAAAGCATGTACTGCCAGGCTTTAGGAAAAGAGGCAGAAATGCATGTTCAGAGAAAGTCAGTTGTGTGTGTGAATAAAATGAATTTTGAATGATTTTCCCTTAAAATGTATCTAACAACAGGTGACATTTTCAGTATGTTGTCAGATAAAACATAAAGCCATGTTTATGTTTTAATTGTAAATGTGGTTTTAAAAAGTTATTATTCTTACAGTTCTCAACAGAGAAAATCTGTACATTATAAACTGCAGACTACACCTTGTTCGTCAGTACCAGTTTATCAAGGAGAGTTTTTCAGTAAATCAGATAAAATAAAATGCTAAATTCCTGTTCATTTACCACGGACTTTCAAGATATAACATTAAACACACCAGAAACTCTATAATTTAAAAATGTTGCCTATAATTCTCTAATTAAACGTTTACAGTAGATGAAATATTAAAATTGTAAAACCTCACTTAGGACCAACAAATGCTTTAAGGTTCGCCTGCAGTTACATGATCAAATCTAACATGAACCACAGACACCATTCTTTATTTTATTTTTTCGGTGTGTCTGCATGTCTAGTAGACATAGCTGATTCATCAAAGAGGACTGAATTTTGTTTGGCTAATTATGTGTGTCTGTGGTTCTTCTTAAATGATGGACAAAGAAACCTTCGTGTTATGTTTTTCATAGTTGTCGTTTCTTGGAGAGACAGAAATGTCAGAGGTCTTGTGTGTGTTCTGCTTGCCTCTGACTTCATGATTAGTTTTTATTACCAAAGTCTGTCCTTGTCACCCAACCTTTCGTGTGACTGTTTCCTTTTTTGCAGGTGTATTGAACAAAATTTCAAGCGCTGCCCTCCTCTGCCAACTACTAGTGTAATCATCGTATTCCACAATGAAGCGTGGAGCACATTGTTGCGAACAGTATACAGTGTGCTACATACATCTCCTGCCATCTTTCTGAAAGAAATCATTCTGGTGGATGATGCAAGTGTTGATGGTAAAATGAATAAAAGATAGGACCTACTTGTATTTTCAACTTATTACTAAGTATTTATTCTAGGGCAGGTTCATTCTGTAAAACATGTTCTTAATGCCTGGTTCTGGCAGGGATACAGGGGATAGAAGATGCACTGGTGCTAAATACTTTAATAAGACAAACCAAAATTGGTAGTAAGCAAAGCATTAAGAAAGCCTGAATCAGTGTTGGTTCTTGTAAGCAGGCCTCAGGCAGTTAAAGGCGCAAGAAGTGAATAGGGCAAGCTGCTTTTAATTCTGAATGACTTTCAGCAGTCTGTCATGACTTGCGAGTCAATGAGCATTATGATTTTGTATTAAAGATACCCAATTCCCTGCAGTCAAGGCATTCTGGTCAGGGAGGCTTGGCAGCACGCCATTTTTGGAGATAAAGACCAATTCTTTCTCACTGTGTCTGTCTCTACACAGTCTGATATGAAGGATGTCTCAGAAAAAGAGGCAACACACAAATTCAGCTTACTATAAGTGATTTGTAGATCTGTATTACTACTGTACAAATAAAATAGAACTACAAAACGAAATGGGTAGGATCAAGAACATGCCGACATGCCAATGTCCAGAATGTATCTGGGTTGCAAATGAGAGAAGTGTATTCAAAAAGTCACGTAGTTTTCTTTTCAATTGAAATTCCACATTTAGAACATCTAATGTCAGATTCCATGCACATCTTCATTAATTTATTGGCCATTCAAAAAATGTTCTTCTTGCACTTTCCTTTGATGTAATAAAGTACATTCAAGTAATGCAAAATACAAATATAATTTAATTGTCTTTGGGTTACCTTGCTGTCCTTAATGAGATTGTCCTTTTTAACTACAGAATGTAGCGTTAACTAACATTCTAGTTTATTTTGACTTATCAAACCTTAAACTCCTGTCAATTACTTCGGAGTTTTAAGAGCTTTGTCACAAATGGGAGTGTTATAGAATATAGCTTCATGATATTTGATTAAACCTATTTTCTCCTGTGCTTTTATATCGACAGAGGTCTTGAAGGATCAGCTGGATAATTATTTAAAACAGCTGCACATTGTTAGAGTAGTGCGTCAAAAAGAAAGGAAGGGACTAATCACAGCGAGGTTATTAGGAGCTTCAGTTGCAACAGGAGATGTACTCACTTTCCTTGATGCTCACTGTAAGTATATCTTATAAATCTCATGGTTTAGAGTTTATTTTTATCATAAAAACATTTCATAGGGAATCTTTTTCTAACAAATGATGCAATCTACCAAAAAGAGAAAAATCCCCTGGTGTACTTGGCCTACAGTATATTGCTGTATTGCATAAATAAGAGCTTGCATTGTATGGTTGACTGCTTCCGTTTTGTTAAATTAACATTCAGTTTCTCAAAGGAAAGTCAGTTATAATGTTATAATTGTGGGTTGGGTTAAATTAGAAAGGTTAAGAATGAAAGGACATTATTCAGTCCATCCAGCTAGTTTTGTTATTGTTGCCAAGAGATCTGAGGATCTTATCCAGCTGTATCTAAAAAGAAGGCAGGGTGTCATCTCAGAAACCGATGCCTTAATCTAGATGATTGATATAATTCAGGAAGAGTGGTGGTCCTAGTACTGACACTAGAGACACTTTTCTAACTTTATCACCCCAAAATGTGCATTTGTTATTACCTTACACGTAATAGAAGTGATTCTTATGGTAATATAATTACTTGGTTTGGTTTAGTCACTCTCTTTATGGATTGGCACAATATTACGAATGTGGATATTGCCACTGTTTTGAGAAACTACTGGATGAGTTTCTAATGACAAATTAATTGCTAATTTTCTTAAGTACAATTGATACAGTATATCTTAAGCACTTCTTGTACCTGTAACACCTCTGCCACTTCTGTGCTAACATGTAGAAATGTTTTTCCACAGCCTGAAGGAAGTAAAACTTTTATTATTTATTTTTTCTTTTATTGCAGTACTTTGAAAATGAAATACAAATTACTTTACATTTTATTGTATGTGTGTCATGGTTAGTTCAATTGACTTTGTTTTATTGCACTACAAATGAATATGCATGTCTTTCATTTTGGAGTTCCCAGCTTTAAATCAACTCTGTGACCATAATACTAGCTGATGAGAGCTGTGGTCCGCATGCAATTATCTTCTGAAATGCAGTTTTCTTTTTTTCACACTGCAAACTCAAAACACCAGCAGAGCTGATGAGACATCATTAGGAAGATAGATGTATCTTATGCATAGCAGTGCAGACTCCTGTAAGCTACAGACCTTGTTTTGTGCAGCAAACCAGGTGTAACCCAGTATACTACAAACCTGCTCAATATGCAGTGCTGTGAACCGTGAGATGTTTCACCTGATGATGTCTAATCCTTTCAACCTAATCCTTAGGTGAGTGTTTCCAGGGATGGTTGGAACCTTTACTTGCCAGAATAGCAGAAAACTATACAGCAGTAGTGAGCCCAGACATCACAACAATCGACCTCAATACCTTTGAATTCATGAAACCTTCTCCATATGGACAAAATCACAACCGTGGCAATTTTGACTGGGGTTTATCCTTTGGATGGGAAAGTCTTCCAGATCATGAGAAACGCAGGAGAAAGGATGAAACATATCCAGTCAAGTAAGATATTGTACACATACTATAGAATACATTTATTTCTAAGCTTTTGGTTGAGACATTTCCTAAGAATACTCTAGTTTTATTTATGTAAATTACTTGTATATTTGTTGTTTTTTTTGGTTCATATGTTGCTCTATAAAGATTTTCTTTTTATAGAGTACCTAAATCCATAATGTTTATTATGGCCCATAATGTTTGTTAAAACAGTTTAACTTCAGTAGTTAATATTAAAATATTACCAAATACTTCTGCCTGGTTTGTGCTCTGTATTTGTCATTAATGAAGATGTAAAATTAGAGCTTTTATCTACTTTTAAGCTGCAAAATTGCCTAAGGCTTAATAATAATCACAACCATTAAAAACATTGCCATTTCACCTTTTGCAAAATAACAGTTTTATGCAGGGCGATTGGGAACACTTCAGAAAAACACAGATGTCTCGAGAGCTGTTGATGCATCTGCACCAGAAGTGACAGATATCAACAGTGACCTTGAAGTCACTTACACTCCATCACTTTCTCAGACATTGCAGACCAGAGCAGAAGTGATGTGAATGGTACAATTCATGTCTTTCAGAAAAGGCATTCCTTCAATCAGTAGGATCTTTCCAGAACTAATATAAATTATTTTCTTGATGAAATTATTTTATTCATTATTTTATGTTTTTCCCTATTTGTATTGCTACAACAGAGAAAAGAAATTAAACTGAACACCTCAGCATGAAAAATACAATATTCCAGCAAATGTTTCAAGTTCTTCCTATCATTGTAACTGTGTGTCCTACTTCACAGAACTCCAACCTTTGCTGGGGGACTGTTTTCAATCTCAAAAGAGTATTTTTATTATATTGGAAGTTACGATGAAGAAATGGAAATATGGGGAGGAGAAAATATCGAAATGTCTTTCCGAGTAAGTGCAGTTTGTTGATCAGAAGCTGTTTAGCCTTTCAGTTCACTAGAAACAAAATGGGTGCTACTGTATTTAGAGACAAATGTTATATTACATTATCTTTATTTTATCTTTATAGTCAATACATTTTAACGTAACTTTCAACCTCACGCTGTGAAATACTTCTTATTGATTAAGCATTTTATTGATAGATATATTTTCATTGGGGGGGTCCTTATTAGAACATTAATTCAATCCTCAATCAACTGTTAGATTGACATTGTATAAAAGCATCGATACAAATGAGCTTTCAAAGCTGTTAAAATAAAACTCTTAATAGGTACTATATATTAATATTTGAGCTCCAGTAAAAAATGACCATGTTCATATTTGAAACAAACAGCAGCAATGCAAAAAAACAGACCTTTGGCTTTCCAGATGAGTTACAGCATGCTTATCGATATAATCTGGATTTGGGGAGGGATGCAGTATTCTCACTGCTCACCAGTTGGTTTCTCATTTCCCACAGTTAAAGCAAGATAGCATCTTTCTTGATGTTCTCTGTTGTTTGTATGTCTGATTGTATTACTGTCTAATTATGTTAGGAATAAGTGAATGACTGGTTGAACTCAACATGCTGAGATCAGCCGGATTTGATGATGATGTTGCGGTGCTAATTAAATAACATCCCTTTGTGATTACAGGTGTGGCAGTGTGGTGGGCAGTTGGAGATTATCCCTTGCTCTGTAGTGGGTCACGTATTCCGCACTAAAAGCCCACATACCTTCCCTAAGGGCACCCAGGTTATTGCGCGCAATCAGGTTCGCCTTGCAGAGGTCTGGATGGATGATTATAAGGAAATATTTTACCGGAGAAATCAGCAAGCTGCACAGATGGCCAAAGAAGTAGGTGGCAGTTCCATGATGTGTGGGAGGCTGAGTCTATTATTATTAATTCTTGTTTCAGTAAACATTCGTTTTATAATATCATCTTAAGTGATTCAGTCCTTTTGCAATATTATTAGATTAAGACAGATTTAAGCAAAAATCTAAGGCTTTTTTTTACAGAAGGATCAGTAACAATACAACATGCATTGATACATTAATCAACCTTGCATAATATTCACAGGGCAGCTTTTGTGCAATGTTCTCTTTAAGCAAACAGCATGTCTACAGTGAAATATTTTAATATTTTTCAAGAGCCAGAGGTTCTTTGTGATTGTCTCTCTGTTCCCTGTTATTTCTATGCTTTTTGCTCAACTGGCCACATGCTGGGCTCTGCGTTTGTCATTGTCTGGACCAAGTCTGAATGGAACATAAATATTTAGAAAGGCCTAAGAACTGAACATGACTGCGCTGTGTTTTTGTTTCACCAGCTTGTAAAAAAAAAAGTTACTAAACTGGCATTTGTGTGAGTAGACATGACTTGTCATTGATATGTAAAAAAAATGTATATAAAAAGAAATTAGAGGGACAAGAGGGAGGTGAAGTCTAGTTTACTGTCTTGATAAACTCTTTATGATCATTAAGACTCAAAAGACTAGTCGTGTAGCCCCAGACTCCTTCCTTATGTGCAAGTTGATCTCTTATAATGAGGTTAATTAAGGTAAAATAATAAAAAAACATTGTCTGCCTTGAGGAAGATATTATACATATGTTTAAACACAGACAGACCAGACTTAGTAACTACTGAGAACATAATTTTAACCTGAAGTCTTTTATTATGAAGACAATAAGTATGATTATCCTGTGATTCCAAGTAAAACAAATTCTAATCCCACAGCCTTCCACTAATAAATTACATTTGGATCAGATTTTTATGGAAGTATTTTAATGATATTGTGAAGTGTTTTGCACATCACAAAATTCAAAACTTTTAACTTGTAAGTCATTTTAATAAGCTAATGTTTAAAGTTTCATAGTTTTCATTCTGCTTTCAGTAAGAAAATATTTTGAATTGAATATTTTGAAACAACTCACAATAACTTGTTTCCGTTTTGTTGTTTTACGTATACTACAAATCTGAAAAAAAAAATTCTAAAATGGATTCTTCAAGAGAATAAGAAACATACAACTCTATTGCTAGGTAATTTTAATTAGTTTAAATTATAAAAATAATGTACAATTCCAGTATTATACTGTATATACAATACTATAGCAATACAATTGCACGTGGGGGAGGCTTTTTCTGGTACAGTAAATGAAGTTTGATTAAGCAGATGTTTCACATCCACCATATACATGCATAATTTTTATATCCAATTACTGTAGAGTAATCTTTGCAAATGGTCACTGCAAAAACATTTTTTGCTGTTAATGATTTCCGTGAGAGTAGAACTGTGATTTGTATGTTTTCTTCTTAGATGTATAATAGGGTAACCATAAATTTGCTCCAGAATTGTTTTAGAAATGGGTTCCAATGAAAAGAAAATAACATACTTACTGAAATCAATACTTTATCAAGGGCAATGAATGGCAGATTCAGTCTGAATAGCTCTGTTGGTTTGAGTAGAGCACTGGTAATGCCAGATTCTTGGATTTGATCTTTGGCTGCTCCCGATATAATGGGCTGGCAGTCCATTTCATTCTTAGGCACTGAAATCGCAGTATTGATGATGATGTGGCTGAGAGAGGCACCAGAAATACATTACCACCCAGGAGAAAAAGCCTTAAAAGTAGACAGGTCTGTTTTATGGCCTCCAAAATAGACACAAGGCAGGGGGGCTTTCTTTAACCACTTTCTCTTAATGGTTTGGAATGTCGTAATTAAACAATGTGGCTAGGAAATGGAAAAGGAGATTTATTTTAAGACAGGTCTCTACAGCTTTCTGAATTAAAATGTGGTTATCATAGCACTGACTCAAAGTAATCAGGAAGGTTTTTCGTGATGACTTACATTGTTTCCACAGAAATCCTTTGGAGATGTATCCAAAAGGGTGGATCTACGGCAGCGTCTGAAATGCAAGAGCTTCTCCTGGTATTTGAAAAACGTGTATCCTGAAGCATTCATGCCTGATCTCAACCCTCTTCACTTTGGCTCTGTAAATACATTTTTATGGTGTCTCTCCAAAGCTAAAACTCACATCCTAAACTTTCTCTTTCCATAGACATTGTCCAAAATGAACAGAAAACTTGGTTCAAACATTTGATGGAGGTTTGCTGTTTCCTGACTGAACGGTGTCAATAAAAACACTTGTCTCCCCTTTCAGGTGAAGAATCTAGGAAAAGATTCATGTCTTGATGCTGGAGAAAACAATGAAGGAGGTAAACATCTGATAATGTATCCCTGCCATGGACTTGGGGGAAATCAGGTAGAATATTCAGATTTGATTGTGCTTTTCTGTGATACAAAGAGTCAAACTAAATGTGTTTCATATAGTTTGTTCTTAATTCAGTATCAAGATGCATATCCTACCTTGCACATGTTATACAGGAGAAAGGATACTGTAGGCCAGGAGTCTCCAACCTTGGTCCTAGAGAGCCCCATTTCAGTTTTATAGGCAGCCATAAAATCACCAGTGTCTGAAGGCCTGGAACAATTTTAACAGTGTTCTCTTAAACAGAGATTCAAGGAAGTAATTTAGAGACCATCTGGAACAAAAATCTGAATATTCTTTTTCCTCAAGGACCAGTGTTTCCTTTATTGAAACATTACTTGCTTAATAGATCAACAGTTGAAATACTTAAATTATGTAAGTTTAAAACACTGGTGATTTAGGGTGAGTAAATGGACTGGGGATCTCCACAACCAGGATTAGAGACCACTGCTTGTAGGCAATAAAGCTCTTGGTGCTTTGTAAGACATTACAGGGAGAATAAGAACAGAATGTACAGTAACTGGGGAAAGCTGGAATCCCAGATTTTTTTTCTACATTGTGATCAAAGTTTTTAGCTTTGGGTAGTTCTTACAATTCACATGACATTGAAGGAAATAAATAGCCATTTCTAACAGAAAATCACTTTTTAATTTTGTGAAGGAAAAAAGAGAATTTTACAGATTGATAGACAGCTGGCACTGCTGCCTCTCATCATCTGGGTCCAAATATTGATTCTGGGCAGTGGACCTTTCCGAGTGGTTTTGTTCTCCCTGTGTGTACATGGGTTTTCTCTGAAAACCTCCAGTTTCCTCCCAGCTCTCAAATACATGCTGGTAGGCTGATTATCTATGCTAAATTGCCAATATACGAGGAACAGCAGAGGAGTTCATTCCTCAGCAATCTGCACTGCCTGGAATAGCTTTACAGCAGTTCCGACCACAACATGCTGTAACTGAATAGGTCACAGGTGAAGGCATTTTACAAACTGATACTGTTATTGCAGTGTGTCTCCACATGCTACATATCTTAATGATTTTGTTTGATCTTTTACGTAAGAAAGAGAATTATTCCTTTATGGAAAACCGTCTCCAAGCATGTAATAAAACTGCAAAGCATGTTTAATGCGTATTTAGTTGTGTGGCAGAGAAATTCAGTTGAAACCTTTTATTTTTCAGTATTTTGAATATTCCACACATCATGAGATTAGGCACAACATTCAAAAGGAATTGTGCTTGCACGGCACAGAAGGAGCTGTTAAACTCGACGACTGCCAGTATAAAGGCCGGAATACACTGGTTGGCGTAGAACAGAAGTGGGAGCTAAGAGAGGTAATTCATGTTATTAAATTGATGTAATGTAGGTCGTTCCAATTCCGTTTAACTTGAAATTAGCTTTCGGAATTTTGTTTTCAGGGCGGTGGTGAGCATTGCTGCTTCATTTTGCGTTCTCCCCACGGTTGCATGGGTGTCCTCCAGGGTGCTCTGGTTTCCTCACACACTCAGAAATCATACTGGGAGGTTAATTGGCTTCTGAGAAAACTGGCCACGGTGTGAATGTGCAAGTGTGTGTCTGTGCCTGTGTGTGCCCTGCGATTGACTGGTGTCCCTTCCAGGGTGTACCCTGCCGTGCGCCCATGGCAGGGATAGACTCCAGCTCCCCCATAACCCAGTACTGAATAAAGCAGTTAGAAAATAGATGGATAGATTATCGTCATCCTCAGACACATCACAATGTACACTTGAATGATTTGGTGTTCTTCAGCGTGACGGTTGGCCAATATCTACTGTTAAAGGAAGTTCTTTTTCTTTCTTAGGACCAGCTGCTTTTTAATCCGGGATCAAAAATGTGTCTGTCTGCGCATCGTGAGCATCCAGCCTTAGCTCCATGCAATCCTGATGACAGGTTTCAGTTGTGGATTTTCACCTGAGCTCTATGACTGTTTATTTTGAGAAATGAAGAAACATCATAGTTACATAGACTACTGTGGAACAAAAATGGTATGAATTCCAAGAAAGTCTTTTTTAACGCAGTATACTTGCTGCTAAAAATGGTTTTATCTGTTTTAGGTTCATGTTAGGAAAAAACGAACAATTGCACTTGAAGGAAGGAGAGAGAATTCTTACCTGTCTTTTTATATTGTACAAAACTTTGGCAAATTGTTTTGTTTGGAATTATTTTCTCCCCTTTAATGAAGATTAATCTTTTGCTTAAAGGTTAAAAAGTACCAAAGAACTTTGCAATTGTATCACGATTGGATGAAACGCTTTTTTTTACCATTATTTTTAACAGCTTTGAATGTCATAATTTATTGTTAGTTTTTTTAGACTTCATGTTTTTAGTTTGCTGTTCACAGCAATTACCTTCCTTACTTTAACTAAACTTAATTTCAAAAATCAAATTATGGTGATAAGTGATCTTAGAACAGCATTATTTCATGAAAACGGACAAAAAGGTTTTATATTTGGTTTTAAATTCTTTCATTTTTAGGTGTGAAAGGCTTATGTGGAAATTTTAGGTCAGACATTTGCTTTAATAAACTTAAGTTTGAGAACTTTCACTGGGAACCCATTTGTCTGAATTGAAAGTACATTTCCTGCAATTTTGAAGAATAGTAAGAAATCATTTAGGGGAGTTAAGTATTTCTATAAAAATTACAAGTGATAATTTCAATGTTCACTAACACAAGTCTTCATTCATAGCTCTTTTATTGTATCTTTATAAAATCAAAATCTTTCATTTATGCATTATTGATTTTCTTTCATATTGGTGCATTTTATACACTTTAGTATATTGTACTGTAAGAATTTAAACTTTACATGTTGCCTCAATCAAAGCAAGATGGTTCTTTATTGTAATTTACACTATAAATGATGATAACATGTTGAGGAGAAGATCCAATCAGATTCACCAATGAGATCTAGAAGTTTGGAGATTTACAAAAATAGTCCTAACATGCACCATTCAGCACTTTAGAATCTGAAACTGTAAAATTGTATTTTAACCACCATTAGGTGAGTGTGCTAAAAAAATTCAAACTAGTAAATCAATGCAGGTTTTGTGATATAAAAACAATATTGGATAATATATATGGGGTATGTTCATGCAGGCATAACTATATCCTGTGATAAAATGAAGAAACAAAATCTACAATATAATATCTGCTAAAACAAACTGACAGTAAAACATGGTTGTTCAAACTGTAACTTCATTTTTATAGACAAGACTACGATTTGATCTGATTGATTAGATTTTAGATTTATTCGATTTTTTTACACTGTAATTTGAAGTGTCTTAAAAGAAACTGAAAGAGCGTATTAATCCCACTAATTCTGTCAGGTGCTACATATGGAGAACAGTTTCCAGATTTGTAGAAACATTTGGCTCCCTGAGGACCTAAAACTGAATGGCAAGGCCAGATGTGATACAGTGAGAAAAACCTGGAGGCCTTAGCATCTTATATACAGGCAGAAAAAAAGATTAATGTGGGCACAGCAACATCCTCTGTGTGGTGGGTAAAGGTTGTGCCTCATTCATCTTTCAATGATTGAAATGTCTGGGGGCATGCCACCGTAAAACAGAGAATGTATTGCGCTGTTACAATCCCTTTCAGCACCGGAGTATGGAATTTTCAGGAATGTGTTCGGAGCAGAAAAGTTCAGTGACTGCTGTTGTCGCCTACATAGTTTTGTAGTTGTCTTGTTGAAGGGAGTTATTCCAACTATCCACTGATAAAAACAAATGTGAAGTACAATAATCATACACATCTGTCCTTCAAATGGAAACGGGGGTGAGCTGTTCATTTATTTCAGATGTATTAGTAATATCTTTATTGTACCTGCATGTATATAAAGTTGACCCTGCAGTGTATTTCTTGAAGCCTGCTGCCATGCACAAAACCCAATATTTTCTCTTTGCTAGTTTGTATATCTTTTAGGAACGATAAAGATATTTACATCCCATTTTTAGACCAACCATGTATCCCTCTCCCTCTACCTACTGTATAGAATGAAGCATGTGAGTAATACTCTTCTGCCCAATAAGTTTAAAATTTGGTGATGTACGATGGGACTGTGCTGAGAAGAACTACGACGAACAGGCCCATTTGTTTTAGTTTTGTTGATTTCCCCAGTTTATAACACAGCAGATTATGTAAATGCATACACAATTAGTAATTAATTTAGCTCTAACAATCTACCCAGAAACGTGATATGTGAAGAGGACCTTGTTCCTAATTGGTATTTGAATATAGATAAAAGATAATACCTGAAATGACATGGATGGGGTCAAATTACCACACTGTACCACACACCACCAGTATGGAGAAGGATATTGTCCTTGGAATTCTACTCCCCCACTGAAGGAGGGCAAATAACTCTGTACTGCAGTATATACTGTACATGTATATACTTCCTCACTCTTAATTATGGAAGGTTGTCAGGAGTTCTCAGCATACAGTATATTGACTGTAACCAGTCAATACAGTCTGTATGAATGTTTAAGTATGACAAGTTGTTTGCATTTTTAAGTAAGTTGAAAATGTTTGGAAGTCTTGAATTTATCTTTGAGACATTAACAAAAGACTCACTGTTCTTCAGATAAACCATTTTCTAATTTCTTTCAGCAGCAGATTGTTGTTTTCTTTAGTTAATGCTTATTTGCCTTGTTCCAAGGCCATAGGCACTTACATTACATCAGCAATATCCACGTACATGAAGGTGTTCTGACTAACCTTTACAAAAACAAACTCCTTGAACTAAAACGGAGCCAATACAACTAAATAGTACAGGATTCTTCTGCTAATTTGTGAATCAGTCCTGTATCTAGAATTGAAATGTGTAATGTGTTTGATTGCCCATATAGGGTTGTTATGGAAAATGTGCATTGCCATTTCAAATCTTGGACTGTTGACGATAATTCACATTTTCAAATACCTCTTTCTTGTCTATACATAAAATACAGTACTCCATTTTAGTTTGATCTAGATGCATTACATGCAATACTCATGCAGTTTTCCTAGCTAATTGCAAACAGAATTACAGTTACATTGTTCTAACGGTAGGTGGCTGACAGTTGAATTCTGATTTTTCTACTAACCAAAAGATGGAGCTCTTCACCTACTTGAGCATTTTATTGAATCTTTTTTATTGTTTTCAGCTTGAAAAAAAAATGAAAATTCCAGATGGAACCTATTATATTTTTAAGAATAAAATCTGTATTTTAATACACACTAGGTGCTTATATTGTCAAGAAAGTATCATTTACAAAGTACCCCTTCATAAACCAAGATTTGGACCAAGAGGATTATTTCATATGTCTCGTAAACTGTGTTCCTTTATGCCATAATTTAAATGTTTTTTTTTAATAACCTCAGACTAAGATATGGCAATGAGACTCCAGGTCAAGTGAACAGGAAAATTAGCTAGTCAAATAAAAACCAAAATACACTATTTGTACTGTAATTTTTGTTCAGTTTATAAATAAATAATGATAGAAAGGAATCCTGCAATATAAGGCTAAATATTTTTAGCATTAAAGCACTAAAAGAACAGCAATGGATAAAGTATGGTTCTAGTCCTGCTCTTGTTCCAATATTTTCCAGCATGAATTCAATAGAGTATCTCTCAATATAGCTATTTTTAATTTAGGCTTTGTCTTTCTTTCAGTGAGAGAAACTGAACACTAACAGAATATTCTATTCTTTAGCTCCAAGACTGTAGAATGACTACTGTACATGACTTTTTTAGATTTTACAAGTTTTTGAAACATGTCTTAAAAACCACATTTATACTTTTAATTAATTTGTGTATATGTCTCTAGTGTTTTAGTGTACAGTATTTATGGGAGTAATATATCATACAAATTGCTATATAAAATTAAGGTTGTTATTATAACATACAGTATGTAAGGGATTAAAAATATGGAACTTGTAGATTATGAAAGAGAAATGACTGATGTATTAAATCTTTCTTTAAATATTAAATATTTCTTTCAGGTATTTATCAAAGGAAAAATACAATATGCCACACGATGAGCTAACAGAAAGTTCTATATCAAATAATATTAGTACAGGAGAAGCAGAAGTGTTTCAGGTACTGTAAGTACTTCAGATAAACAAACCTCCAGGGCCCAGTGGTATCCAAACATTTGTACTTATGGAAACAAGAGATGTTATTCCAAAGTCATTAATAAAACCCTTTAGCAGTCTATTGAGACAGGTGTAAACTCCATTGGCTAGAACATTGCTTTTGCAGCGCCCATCCATAAGAAGGGTGAGAAAACGGAGCCAGGTAATTAAAGACCAATATTCTTACTTCTACAGTCTTGTTACATGTAATAAATATGGCAGCAGGATTCTGAAGGACAAGTCAATATGGATTTAGAAAGGTAGTTCTCGTATAAATAACGTGCTAGTTGTTAAGAGTTCTCTAAACAAAAAAACAGCATACAATATGCTATGTTTCAGAAGGCTTTTGATAAAGTTTACTCTTTTGAGTGACCAGAAACGTTTCCACACTCAAAAGGAATGTGTTACAGTGACTGTCAAAAATAACCAAAACTTCTTTACTCTTGAACAGAAAAGACTATTAGGGCATTGATTCAAGTATTCAAATTCCTAAAATCCTCTGACAAATTAATCTAAAAATGAACTTCAAAATCAAAAGTGGAAAACCAGAAGGTAAGTGGAAACTACATTAAAGTGCATTTAATACTGAGAACAGAAGGCACTTTTGTCCACAAAGCATTATAGGAATCTGGAACAAACTACTCCAGCATGTTGTTGAAGCTCATACAGTACCCTGGTTTCATTAATAAAACAGCTGGACTGGTTCCCTGGATCATTTAATCACTAATAGCTAAATAAACTACAGGTACGTGGGATGTGTGGCCTGTCATGTTTAAACATTCTAACTGTCTAGAATGAGAAAACAGTTGTTTGAATTGAGATTGAATTTTAGGCCAATTTGCACAAACCCAGTGTGGGATTTTGGAACAAATGTCATCAGCATGACCACTCTACTTTTATTAACTGTGTTATAGTATCTTTAAAGACCAAGCAAGGTCTCATCTGAACGACAGCAACCCCCACAACATAGTGTCTGTTATTACAATACTGCGGCATTTGTTTGGCTATTTTTCTGGCCCAACTGGTGGCAACATTTTCTCAGCATCCAAAAAGAATTTAATGCCAATGCCCTTAATAGTAGATAACTGGGTCTTCTCCACTATCATGGGATGTGTCTTCAACAGATCTCCTACCTGGCCTGACTTTTGTTCTTACGTTATTAAGTCTTTAATCACACTTTTCACAAAGCATAGTTCTATGATTCCAATTCCAACTTCCCTCAATCATACTGTCTAATATTTTGGAATCTGGAAAAACCTTAATCTGTAAACGATGACAAAAAGGATGGCAATACGACTTTCATATGAAATTTATATATGGTGATGTCTCTCATTTTTTCTGCTATTTGGCTTTTTGCAAACCTTTATTTTTTCACATTTTGATCACATGTAATGGTCAATGCAAACTAGTCTAAATAACTCATTAGATGCTGAATGACTAAACAGATCATTAATTAAACACAAATTAAAGGCAACTAATTTTTTGTTCCATAAATGTTTTATTTATTTTTTTCCAAAAGTGATACTGGTGGAAGAGAAATAGAAGTCAACATAACTGCATTTTGGCTCTCAATTGTATTTAAAAACTGAAAGACAATTTTGTACATCTATCTAAAAGCAATAGTGCCCTGTGCAAAAAATAAAATAAAAATAAAAACTCACTTTCCAGTTTCACTGACTTCATGGAGTTGATTAATCCATTTGAAAAGCTGAATTGGACAATAACAGGCTCATACAGCTGAAAAGAAAATTACAGCCTAATACAATTTACATCAACCATGAAACAAAAGACAATTTAAGACTAAAAAAGGTCAAAAGTTCCAATACAGACTACTGTAATAAACCACAATAAATACATATTTCATAATATCATTCTAAATCAATACTGAAAATGATAAATACATCAGAGTATCGCTAATTAGGATTTATTAGATAACTGTCTGATACTTTGGCACAAGATCTGTATGCCTGGCAATCCTACTGTATGTACATGATGTTTTCTGGTCTTCATACACTGAAAAGACAGCCTTTACAGCTCTGTAACACATACATTTCAAGAACTGTGATTAAAACAAAAGCTAAAATAAAAATCTAGAGTGAACTTTGAAGAAAATGAAACAAGTCTTTACTTTTTGTAGATCCTGAAAATTACTAATAATTATGTAATGCATAAAACAAATCTGTAAATGCAAACAAATTGGCTGTTAAAGTTCATTCATTTCAAGTCTGCTTGTGATATCTAAAACTTTTGGATGTTAATTTAAAGGAAAAAAAAGGTTCCCAGAACATTTCACAGATATAAAGATTTATTATTGCTGATGTTAAAAATGATGAATAGAGCACAAAGTATTTGGTTTCATGTACCACCATATTAATTGAAATGTTCCCTTTCCAGAGTTTTGTTATCATAAATATATATTTGCTTCTTAAGAGTTCTATATTCTATAAACCATAATTTTATATTTGTATGAAGTCTTTAAAGATTGTCTAAATTCTGTTACTGTTTTCGGTGGATGGGCATCAATTAAATCAATAGCCAATTACCATGATTTGACTTTTTTTAATTAGACATCTCAATTGGAATTTTTTGGGGGAAGTAGTTCATTAAAAATCATGTGCTAATATTTTATCCTGCATAATTATACGTATTGCAACCCAACTGATCAAGCAAATATACTGTACAACACTGCACATAGACCAGATGAAAAATCAAATATTTAAGACAAGATCATTTCTAAACTACATCTTAAGCATTTGGTAGTCAAAGCCACTATAAACCTCATGGACAAAGTCTATAAAGAAAGTTGATTGCACTGTTACTTTTTAAATGATATTGCACTTCATACTTGAAAAAGGAAATAAATTGCTGTTTCACTATTCATATAACTCTTATAATTACATTACATTAAATGCCCAAGGTAATGGAAAATTTACAGAAAGATCTTAAAACCTATCTGAAAACTCAAAGAATTTCACTTACAGAAGTGTCTATTATTCTTTTCAGCAACTTAAGGAATTTGTATATGTGAAGTTCAAATATAATATAAAATTCAAATATAATATTTTCTGGTTTCAGTTCCGTGGCCATAGTAGAACTGCATCTATTTCCTTTAGTTGTCCGTGACATATTTCATGATCTTTTTAGTCCTTTAATTACAGTAAATTCTATGATGCATTACTTTTTCAGCTTATTTGTATGAGGTTTAGTACTGCAATCCAAAATACATTTATTTTGGTTTCTAAGAGCAGAATGTAATGCAAGTGGTATAAAGACAAGAATACTTAACTTCTGATTTTGTAATCTTAAGCCTCCCTTTTGACTCTTTACTTATAATAATTCACATGAAAATTATGTTAAAACACATTGCTCTTAAAGTACAATGATTTTCATTCAGGGATAGACAACAGAAGGAAAAATATAGTATTACTGGATGGTGTACATTTTCTATTTAATTTTGAATTCTCAAATATCAATCACTTTTACAATAAAAAATGGTAAAAAGATAAAATGACCTCCTAACTCTTGAACATGCATAAAATTATTACCGAAAATCACCCTCAAATTATTGTAGGACGATGTTAGGGACACCTTTGGCTTATTACTCTGTTTTACAGTGCCCCACAAAAGTTTCAGACCCATGCATAATTCTCACGTTTTGTTGCTTTAAAGCTTGTAGTCATGACACTTCGCTACATACACAACCTAATCCACACATGAAAAAAACCCCAAAATGAATAGATAATATGTAACACAGTTGTGATACCTTTGCTCTGGCACAAAACTCTTAATCACTATGTAAAATAATAATAGTTTTCAGAATTTCAGAGTACAAAAACCTGTCTCTGTAAGGTATCTTAGTCAGCTAGTGAATTTCAAGGAACTATGAAGAAAAAGTAACTTTAAAAACAACATGCATAAAGGCACACATCATGATATTATGAAAACAGACCCGTAATATTTCTTTAAGCAAGTTGAAGTCAAGACCATTAATCTTAAGATCCTTAGTCTTTTTTTAAACTAAAAAAACACATCTTAAATGCCACAAGGAGTTTGGCACAAAGCACGTGTTCACAGTACTGATACTGTAAATATGTGGTAAAAGTATCAATGGTCAAAATGAGAAAAATATGGAACTTTCTAGTCTAAATGCAAAGCACTATGTTAAACATAATCCAAATATACTGCATCACTTTGTCCCTACTACAAAGATGGGGCAATGTTATGTTATGATACTGCTTCTCATTAGCAGGGTCTAGGAAGCTTGTGAAGAATGAACAGAACAAAGCAAAGTACTCACAGGAAACCTGCTTCAGATCTAAAATGGGGACAAAAAATCACCTTTCGGCAGGACAGTGACTTGCAGTTGCAAATGTAAAACATGCTTCCACCAAATACTGGCAATGAATTTACGGGTCTGAATACTTATGCAATCCACACATTATTTTTTTTTCCTCCTTAGTTTTTTGCTGACATTTTCTGTGACTTATCTTAGCATTGAAAGTCTTCAGTCTGAGCGTTGGGTTTTGAACAAAATATGACGTTTAAGATACGTGTATGCAACATTTTGTAATTCACCATAGGAAGGGTCTGGATACTTTTCCAAGGCACCGTATACAGTATGCGCACACCCATGGGAGCATAATGACAGATCATCCCTCATAACCTTTGTTTTCTAATGCTTCCTTAAATTTTTGAGTTTGAAAAAAACAAAGCAAAGGCTTAATTTAAAAGCAACCACATTAAGACACAGCTCCTGCCTGCAAATAGCACAGATTTTGTAATAGGTTTCATTGTGTTTAATTTCAATTATGCCAAAATATGTAACAGAAAGGTAGTAGTCGTTTTTATATTTACTGCCCCACTTTTCACCAGTACTGACTGCATTTACTAACACGGATGTGGAGCACCCCATCACACAGGGAGGAAATAACCTTTTAGTTTATCTCAATGAACTATTGATGGTATCTGTGGGAATAGCTGACTTACGTAGGGAAATATCTGATTTGTGTAGAGAATTATAGCCCTAGATCAAAATTATAACACTTAAGCATAATCATGTAAAACACTGTAATTCAATGAGTGTTTATGGCGGAATGATCAAAATAGAAAGCACTGTGAAAACCGACAAATTCTTTCAGAAAAATGATCATTCTACAAGTACATTTATGAAAGGTGACAATTCGCACATGTAAAAATAGTCAATGATCTGGTATTTCAGGTAGAAAGAAAGCCACAAAGACAAAAAGGTCCCTTCAGAGTCAGGGCTAAGAACCACACCATTATTGGACCAAGACTATTTTAAAACAATCAAATACTTCTAGGTTATGATAGTAGCAAGAAGCAGGAACAATACTGAATAAAAAACATTAAATGTTTACTTCACAAAATGCAATTTATTAAATTACTGTCTACCACTGGAGAATGTTTCAAGTATGAGTGACTGACATTTTCCTAATATGGCGACTGCCCCTTCTTGGTATGAATTGTAAAAAGAAAGTGCTTAAGCAGCCTTTTTTATGGAAATATGAATGTCTCAGATCAAACAATGCTTTGGTCTTTAAACCAGAATGCAAAGAAAGATGAAAACAAAAAGCACTTTTCAGATCCAGTTGCATGCTTTCATAAACTATAAAAAGGACATACTAAATACAGTCTGTGATAAAACAGATAAAACATTTTATACAGTACACTGAGTGATTTCAGTCAACTTGTGTTGTCAGTCAGCTTATTCTTGAATTTGCAAGGTCATCAGCTAAAAAATATCATGCTATTCATTATCAAAACATTTATATTTTACATACACATCATAATCCCATAAATAAATTGATACAGTAAACATTTTTCTCACAATTGACACATGAACATATAAAAGTTCTATCCACAAGATTAGCTGAAAACTAGATCCTTTAAAAGGATACTTTGAAATTACAATATACTTACATAGCACAGGCTTAAGCTTACAGTTTTTTTAAAGTCTTTTATCTTGTTTCACTTCGTGTTTTAAATTAATAACATTTGACAGATGTTTTCAAAAAGCTACATAAATTATTCATAACTTGGACTTTTAATAAAACAGGCAAGATCTAAAAATGAGACTTTCATGTGCAATCAAGTCATGTAAGTAGAAAAAAACAATACATATCTGAAGCATTAGCCACAATTTAAAACTTTCTCTTAAATAACATACATTTGAACCAATTAATCATATTTGAGAAGTTCATTATTGTAGTAGCACTCCATCCTAGACTTGGAGTATACCTGTGTTTTCTGTTTTTTGTTCCAAATGAGGGTTAGTAATTAGAATTACTAGCAAGAATCAACCCCTTTTTATTCACATATACCCTCATTCAGGTGTGTGAAATGTAACTGGGGCTCTGAAGAAAACAAGTTTAATTTTTTATTATGCTGGATAGTTTGATTCAATGTCATTCCCACCTATGGACACCATTAATATAATTGAATAATTAATATCAGACCTATGAAATATGATGGAAAAACTAAAAAAGAGAACGGATGGGGCTCTGTTTGCTAAATTTCTTTAAAAAGCATGCCCGCAGGGGAGTATTTCTGGAAGAAAATACTCAGTGCGGAAACAAGTTAAAAAGGTCTAATCACACAAAAAAAGTTTGATTAAAGGGATCAGTTAGCCACAGTGATTAAGAGTTCATGTGGAACAGAAACCAAAAGACTCAGGATTCCCTCCAGTGTCAAAGCTGAGAACTACTGCATTACTGGACCAAGGCTAATTAAAAAAAATCTAAACGGGCCAGGGACCCTAAACTGGCGTGACCTCTGGAACGCTTTCAAGTGTAGGATTCTTTTTATTGTCTGGCAGAGGGGAGACTTCAGAGAGTCCGTTTGAAACCTCCTTTGGCTGCTCAACTGTGAAACAATTCCCATTGGTGACATAACGGTCTTGAGAATTATTGTTCAAGTAGTTGTGAAACTCCATCTGAGAGTGGCCTGGAGTCTGTTCACAGTATATCCCATTTGACTGAACGTTGTTTTCCTGGTCAGGGGTACAACAGACAATAACGGAGGATGCTCCGTTTGAGACTGCGAAGTGATGATTAGTATACCTTTCATCCTGCTGCCGAGAATAGTCTGTGTACTGCTCAGAAGTCATGCTGTAAGGCACCAATGACATTGTTCCATTGTTATTGGTAACCCTGTCTTGGTATGATGAAGCTTCACTGTAGGCCTCGTTGCCTTGATTAGCTGCTATGTTCCCTGCAGCAGTGTTGGAATTTTCCAGCTGATAATACTCCACTGATGAGCTAGTGTAATAGGAATTGGTGCTGTTGTGATTTTCATGGACCACTGTACCATCTGAATAACACAATACTGAGGAAAGAGGAACCACTTCAGCCCTTGATACGACTGGTGGAGTCATTCCTTCTCCAAAATCATCTGATTTATCTTCTTCGTCATCCTCTTCATCGGACTCGCTAGCTGCTAAGCTCTGTGTGCTTGAGTCTGTAAGACCGCTGCATAAACTACTGCCATCATCTTCTTCTTCTTCATCATCCTCATTTTCTTCTTCATCTTCTTCTTCTTCCTCATCCTCTATTGGCTCCTCTAGCTCATCAGCTGCCTGAAGGTGCATTATTGCAGTCTGAGGAACAGTATCTGCAAGGGAATACTCAAGACTATGCTGGGCCTGGACCAAGGGATTACTGTGAACATTCGTTTCACCATGGTAACCGTTTGCTGCAGATGCCTGTTGTTGCTCTCTGTTCTTCTCCAGTTCAAGCTTCATTATGGTGTGTAGAAAGTGAGTCCGTACCCTTATTGGGTTAAATTCAATTCTACCTGCAGTGTTGCTGCATCCCTCTTTTGTGCAGCCACAAGGGAAGGACATACGGTCTACCTGCAGAAAAGCAGAAAAGCAACTTTAAAAAACCACTTAATCTTCATTTTGTCTTGCCGGCTGTCATACAAAAATTGCGCAAGATAAAATCCAAGTTACACTTGCTTTGATTTCTGAGGACATTAAAAGATATTTTAAGACAAAAAGTATAGGATTTGAAAATGTGATATTTTAACCTATAAAATAGGTTATTAATACTTTGTTTAATGTTATGCTTTAGTACTCAAATTACTATTTTATTATTCATTACTGAAATAAATTACAATTATAATTAGAAAGGCAGATGTGCTTTAGAAAATGCTTTAGTCACGTAGAGGTCTGTACTGGAGAACAATGCACACATAATTGGACACTACAGAATTTTGTGCAGGAAACTTAAATTCCATGGCTTCAAATTCAAATAAAATTAATACAACACAACATACAGTATGGTGTGTTTTACATTTACCTGACATTTAATTCCAGCCATGCTGCAAGCACAGGTCTCAGGATCACAAAATATTCTGCAGTCACACCCACAGTCTTCCCTTGAGACTCGGATGGCGCGGAGCTCATGTTTTTCTTCTACATCTATCTTTTTCACACCAGAAGCCCTCAGCAAAGCTCTCCTCTTTTTGGTTGTGAGGGGTTGAAGGAAGAAGTATTCATCAACTTCTGTGTTGTCCAGATCAATGTCATCATCGGAAATGTCATCCACTGTAAGGACGTTGGCTTCGTCGGATTCCACGGTACCATTTTTAGTCAGCTAAAAGCATTAAAGGTCAAATTAAGTTAAATTGGGGAAATAAACCGGAAATCAGAAAGCAATGTCAATTCATTTATAACCAGAGCTTTTACTGTGCTGTGTATCCTTCAGTCTCTTGGTGATGTTCAACAAAATCTGTCATTCAGATATTTATTCATTGAGGCAAATACACCTCAGTAAAAGGTGTATTTGATTTTCTTCAAATAGACTACTTTATTTAAAAGCTACAACTGCTACAGTATGTTCTCAATTGTCTTTACTGTCTATATTTCTGAAAGGTTTGAAAAGATAGAGAAAGATGAAGAAACATCTCAAATGCACGGCATCACTGTCACATCTAGTTCAAGGGCCTTGTCCTGTCTTACCACTCACTCTCTTCTCTGCTCTTCTGCCTCCTACCTCCAAGTCTCTCGTCTCTCCCTACTTCCCCTTTTGCTTTCTTCGCTCCTCCTTGGCTGGGCGACTAGTCATTCCTTCCCCTCGCTCTCCAATCTCCTTTGACCGCTGCTTCTGCTCCCTTGGCTCCGTGGTTTGCAACCAGATCAGTGAAGATCAGGAACACCCCGCTTCTCTGGCCACCATCCAGCGCCTCCTCAAAACTCACCTGTTCGGACTGCACTGACACCTGCGCCCATCGACCATTGTAATACTGTGATCTCATTTCACTACACGGGGTGATTGTGTGAACACTCCGCTATTTCAGTTTTTGTGCTATGTCAGAATCAATGCTTTGTGGATCGATTCAATCAATGGATTGAATATATTGTTAGAACCACTGAAAACATTTGAATACTAATGAAAAGCAGTATGCGGTGTGAGTGGCATGGGGATTGGCAGTGCACGTGCATGTTCCGGAGAAAAGTTGGGAGAAAACTGCAGACAGGGTGAATCTCAAATGTGAGAAAACACCGAAAATTGATATCCATTTTCCCAAGGAAAACCCCATTTCACAGGAAAATGGAAATTAGCTTGAGCTATGACAACCACAACAGGCACGGGAGACCTCTGAACCTGATCTCAGTAGACCTGTGTCTCTTCCCGTTTTGAGCCACGGTGATCTGGTCATTACTTGGTTAGGGAGTGTTATTTTATTCCAGGTAAAGCCTACTGTGTATTTGCTCATTTGTTCAAATGGTCATGAAATTAATTTGTAGCAATATAATTTACTTACTGTATAATTACATATGCAACTCTAGTAATAACATTTAAAAGATAATGTGGGTAGGCGCTCTAAAACACATTTTTAAACAACCTGCCGCAACATTTTTAAAATTCTCAGGTTTATTACATCAGCTGAACTGTGCTTTAAACAGTTTATGTAAATCAAGGTGTCACCTGAAACAGCTTGCATTTATAGGTGTGATTCTCTCATGTACTGTAGATGTTCCCCGTCTGCAGAAAAACTGGATTTTCTCCACTTTTTATTGGACACGTGAGAACTCTCGAGTTTCTAACTCTCATGTATCAACCCTACGCCTTTCATTTGCAGGAAATCAGGTGGTCAGAGGGTCTTCTTCAGTAAAATGGCTCCAAAAGGAACACAGCAAGGTACAGCCCACCTTTTATTTGATTTGAGCAGCATTTCTTGAGTAGTATTAAACACACGGGGAAACTGTTTCATGTCATAAGGTTTTGGCATGATAAAAGGAATTATGAAACAGATTCAAAAGTACAAAATATATAAAGAAGAATACCATCCTAGTAAGAGTAAAATCTGATGCCTCCTGATCAGTTATTTATTTTACAACACTGCTGGTCAAGGCACTTATTTCAGAATACCCATGCTTTTGTGTGTTACTTTACCTTTAGCTTTATGGAATTAAGTTTTTCTTCTTTCAAGTGGTCTCTGAGCATCTCCCTGTGAATCCTCTCCTGCTCCAAGGCAAACTCCCCCAGGGTGTACTGGCGCACGCTGCTGTGTCTGCTGGACATGCCCAGGGTGCTGCCCCCTTGGCTGGGGACGCTGGTGAAGCCCTGTCTCCTGGAGAAGTAATAGACCGTGACGCTCTCGAAGTGCACGTTTCTCGTCCTCATTCGCTTCTCCCTTTTCAAGATCGAAGACGCTGCATCCGAAATGAAATGAAAAAGCCAGATGTTACCATTATGCCCTTGGTGCTGCAGACATGGCACGTGCTGTGAAAAAAAAAACTCAATTTGGTCAACTGGACTTTCCGTTTGGTATCGTTCGTACAAAAGTAATTTGTAAAAGATCCTGGAGTTATTTGAATGATCTCTGGGAAAATAAACGAGTCTACTGTAACTCCAATTACAGACATTTAAATTGAGTGCACCACTGGGGTTTAACATTAACTGCTCAGATGGCTCTCTGTTAGACTTCCATGCTATGCTTATTTAAAAATAAATAGGGAAAAGTTTTTTTGGGTTGCCAACTATAATAAACTGGGTTCATTTTTTTGGGAATTCTCCAGCACATTTTCTTTGCAGAAACCACCTCTTTAATCAAGAACTGCATTATCCATGAATCACTTTTTATTTAAATATGTTTATGTATTTTTAACTATATGCATATTCAACTCTTTCATGTTTTGAACACGGCTGTTTTTTTTATGTTACAAAAGGAGTCATTCTGGTCTCCTAATTCGATCTAATATGTAGCCCCGAGCTAAATGTATTACACATTTCCTGGTGCTGAAACCCTAAACATGAGAGAAATCATATCCTTTTTTAATGCTAGGTTTTGGAGCATACGTCTGCTCTATGTCTAGAGTTCACCATATGCACAGTCAACTGCACAACCTTCTGAGTTATACTGTACCTGAGCTATCCCTTTAGAAAATCTCATTAGGAATGTCCACAGAGACAGGCTCCCTTACCTTCTCAACTAGGAATGCTGAATCAGCTTCTGATTTCATAGCTAAGCCAGTGTGACACTACCCTGACTTACACAAGCTTGAATGCCTCCTGGACTCTGTCATTGGATAATGAGTTTGCTTACCATCTTAAAGACTAATATTTTTACAGCATACATAAAAAGGGCTATCCCACAGGCAAGGATGAATGGATAGTGTAGCCCCAATTCAGGAGATAGTGTTACTGCAGAGCAGACATACTTAAGACTTTCTGAGCTTTGCTGAGTTTGTTGCAGTGCCTTTGATCCTAATATTCTGCTTCCACTACTAAAAAAATATATAAATTAGTCTCTCCATCCATAGCTTTGCCTTAGAAGAACTGAAAGATCCAAATTAAAAGCAGAGAACCTCACTTCTCTGGCAGAGCTACTGTATGAAAGTGGGCTCATGGCAGCGAAAAACACCCATTGTGAGCAAAGTCCCCATTTTGAACAATGCGCATTTGAAAACGCACATCCTTTACTTGATGCCACCACTGCTTTTTAGTCACATTTATTGGGGGGGAAAAAGAGCAGCGCTGCTATACATGCAAAATAAATAATCCCAACCCCCCTCTTCTGGCAGGAATCCAGTGTGTAAGCATTTTGCGTGGCTCTCACAGTTCCTCTCTTGATGTCTGACATACATTAAAATAGATGGGAACCATCTGGTTCAGCAGCTGAGAACTAGCTCATGCTATGAGGACAGTGCGCTTCACCACAGACAATGAACACACATCTTACACAGATGAGGGGAATCCAGGAGAGCAGGACCAGAGCACCAAATTTTAGAATATGAGGAATTTAGATGAGGAAATCAAGATTCTCCTTTCAACAGCGTTTAGCTATTATAATTTTGAGAGGGGTGCATTTCATTAAAAAATGATATTATTTATGAAGTATAGTTAAATAGAATTATAACATTAATGTGCACACGTTAATATCAGTTTACTTCTAAAGCTGATGAGACTAGATTATCTAATGTCATTAGAGGCCATTTTCACCTTTATGCTAACTAAGTGTTGGCTAGTAAAGTATTAGAATTATCTCGTGAATCATATTTGTAGAAATAAGCTTTACCATCCATAAACATTTGCTCCAAAAAATGATGTACTTTACATTCTTAAAAATAACAATGACACGATTAAATCCTTCTTATATTCAGTTGATTAAGAGAGCACTCTTGATTTCAGTCAAGGCTCTTTGTAGCACTATTTTACCTACAAGCAGGAAGTATTTCAGTCAATATTTTTCTTAAGTGAAATTATTATCCTTCCTTAACTCTGTATAATATATCTGTTGTCTTTAAAAGCAAGTTTAAGTGATACCTCCTTTTAAAATATTGTATGTTTAAATTGATTATTTACTAGGGTTTATACTGTATATACTGTATGTCCCTATAACTCACATAAAATATTGAGTTATCTCAATATACATGTATTATGAATTTAGTATTAAAACAACTGTCTAATCTTTGATTGTTTTACTATCAGTTTTATTCAAGCAGTGATTATGTATTTCAAAATTCTACCTGTCAGAGTATCTTGTCAGTGTACAATTCACACTGCTTAATAACACAGTTCAGAACACTGTGGTACCTAACAGCAAACTGTAAATTATTGATCTGCTGAGATTAAGGTAAAACCTAGAAATTACAATGACATTTCCTGCACAAATATAATCTATTAAAGTAACATAATACTAAATATAATACAAATATAATAGTATTACCAAAATTACAGCTTAAAATATGTTTCCTTTCTACTAGAAAGACATTATGAGGTCATGCTGGCATTTCTTTCTATGTTGTGATGACTTGTATTTTACACAAAAAAAAAATGTAGGGATTACATAGAAGAAAGAAACAATAATAGAGCACATGGCTAATTATATCAAATGCCTTAATAATACAGTAGTATGAGATCAAGCTATATTTATTGATCTGGTGTTGCTACAACAATTACTTTAAGCATTTCAAGTGGAAAGACAGTCCACATAATGGAATTTAGTATGGCAAATTGCTCACAGTTAGCTTGCTTGTTCATTCAGTAGAATGCTAGCACCTTCAGTGCACTGAACATACAATTGAATTAGTGTTGCAATTCATTCTAATTGGCATTCTATTAACAATTTTATGAACTACATAGATCTTAATGTGTTAATCCGGTATTAGGTCTAACAAGGTGTTGAAATCATACTTGAAAGAACACATTAGTATGTGGAAATGCAAATGCAAAATCTTCACTTTTTGTTCTCTAATTCAATACCACTATTACAACATTACAACATTCAGCAATTGTAAGACTAAAACAATGTAAAGCAAATAATGCACTTTATTCCTGTATTTCCAATTACTATCTTAATGATTAGTATAAAGCAATTCCCTGACAATCCTTTAAATTTTAAATCATTATGATTTTTCTTCATATTGCTATACCTGGCAGAATTACATTTCACCATAAAATGTTCCAATTGTATTTAGTACACATTACACTAAGTGAAAGTATGTCTCTGCTACAAATTGGCATATACATATACATGACAGGACAGGTCAAAATATTTCAGTAGTAGCCGATATTAAACATGCCTGGGCTAAGTAATCTGTCTTTTCCACTACAGGATTACTACTAAACAGCTGGTTTCCTTTATATGACTGGCATCAATCATAAAACGAGAAGTGTCTACGGTAAGCCATGCATATGAGCTTGCAATTATTTTCTAAAAAAACATTCTTTAAAGATGGAAAAAGCAAATACAGAATTTATTGCAATGGAATACATTGAAAAACACAAAAGGTACGACTCTTCACATTTGCTGCAATTGATCTAAAATCAGGATTCGAGGCAAGTAAGTTCCCTCTACAGTTCCAGTATGTCTTTAATTATTAAAGTGCTGCATTCAAGACCCGGTCTCAAGATTATGGAAAATGAAATGAGTAGACATAAGAAATCTTTATATGTTTATATAAATATATATATAAATCTATTGGTGTGTGTGGTTTAGAGTCATAACTGGCAGGCTGTGAATTTAAATGTGGCTGTGAAACCACATCAGGGATGACCACCGCTGTTGTACCCTTGAGCAAGGTAGTAAGATACTTCATTGCATATAAAATTGGGTACAAATGTGAGAAGTCACCTTGCATAAAAGCATCAGCTAAATTAATACCAATTTAATGCATCAGACCCTTGATGGGACATTTGCCTTTACCACAAAATATATATATTTTTTGCAACTCAGCAAAAAAAAAGAAACGTTAAATTGGTATAGCAGGCAACACATGCTAAAATACATATTTTGCAAAAGAATAGTATTTTCTTTCTAGTGCTGTGGAAGCCTCATTAAACAAAGGCAGTACAGGAATACGGCTCTCTCCAAACATCTGGAGCAAATAAAGTGTTCATCCATTTTAATCTGATGGTTTCACATGGGTGACTGACTACACAGAAAATAAAATACATTCAGGGGGAAGGGGTCAGGGTAGGAAATCTCAAGTAAAGAGCCAGCCAACAGCCCAGTTAAAGGCACATGGGTTGTCAGAGTATGTTCTTCCAGTTGATTGACAAAAACGTGCCCCTAAGCCATGGAATGTGGTCTCTGTCTTACCCTGAAACGACTCAAGGTGGACCAGTATGACTTGATCCCAATGAAATTTCAAAAATTCATTTTCATTAGCACTGCATGGCATCGTAGAAATTATAATGACGTCAATTATAAAGTCACCGGAATTAGTCATCAGTTAATGTATAACATGTTACACATACTTTAGAAGGGCTAAAATATTTTACACAGGTAATTCACTTCATTCTACAATTTACTATGTGTTACCTATTCAGTAATCACAACATAAGGAAAGGGAGATTTTTATCAGCAGCCTACGCAATTCCTATAGTATTTCAAGTAATTAAAGTTACTGTAGGTTACACAAAACTCTTAATTTATCTGCTTTTCAAGCATTGTCGCTTGTCATATACAGGAATCCAAAATAAGGGATGAATATTCTTCCTTGCTTTCAGCACTATCTTTACAACCAAGATAACAGATGATTGAGTCTGGTTTACAAGTAATCTTTTTCACACTTTATCAGATCTAAAACAAATTACAATTAAGAAAAAAAGCAAGGAACAATCGTAAAGAAACTGATGAAACTTAAGGAGGTAGCTACTGTATATTTTGATCAGATAAAAAAATCTAAAATGTAAAGCCCTCCGTTATTAAAGAGACAGTTCTTCCTTCTGTATTCATCTGCACAGTGTGTTATCTGGGTGCTTTAATCCCCAGGTCAGTGGCTTTGATTATCAGTAGGAACAGATACGACATTAGAGTCTGCAGGGAGTTTCTTCCAGCTCCAGTCTCTAGATCAAGACGGCTTAACATGTAAAGAAACTAGCAACGTCACCTAGCGTAGTGTGAGAGAATGGAATGAGCAGTGTGCTCAAACCAAAGCTCATAGATCAAAGCCACATTTTCCATTTAGTTTTATTTAATGGTACTGGGGCCTTTTAAAAAAATGGAAAGACAACGTAAAAGTGTCAATGGTAGAATTCTTAACACTGGAGGGGCTTGATGGGCTTGTGGTTATTTAACAAAGAATACAAGGTGGAGAGGAACAACCTATTTTCTGAACTAAATCCTTCAAGATTGAAGCTGCCAAGATTGTGCACATGCAAAAACAAATTTACCTGACATGGTTTGCAGAAGCAAAACTTCATGGAGGGATGTTTTCAATATAATTTTCCTTCACGTTGTTAGTGACGGCCAAAGTTTAAGCCTTATTATACCAAACAAAATATTTTCTAAAGCAGGGGTTTCCATAAATCATTTTATTTCATAGACAAGCTTATTTGCTTGTTTTAAAGAGGGGGAAAAATGACAGCATTGTTAAAAGTAAGGAACAAAAAAAAACAGTTCAGCAGTTTTCAAGGACTTCGGAGACTTTAGGCATTATTTCCCCACTATAGGGAAAGTGTGGGCAAGGTGCCCATTCCATAATAAAGGAATTACATGGGCTGTTTGCCCACTGTGGAAATTCAGGCCCATTGAATCTTTTTTTTTTCCTGCTAACTTTTCTCATTTGTCGGAAGGGTAGTTTTTTTCCTCATACATAGACAAAAGAACACATACACTGCGACAGAGTTAGTGAAAGCCACAATCTGCATATATTTTTACCCACCCAGAACTCTCTCTGTTAATTTCCCAAAAATAATTCTACTCACAATGTTGTCTGAAGAAAAAAACCTGGAAGCAATACACAATGTTCTACCAGGAAAGTAACGAAACAAAAGTGGCTTGAGAAACGCCATGTCACTCACGAGTAAAATGGCTGGAGGTGGAAGGGTTTACACTGTCACTACTGTCCCCACTCTCACTGCTGGAAACCTCATCGTCAGATTCCCGCAAGGACGAGCACGGTGAAGAACCATCCACTTCTTCAAACTTCCTCTTTAATATTCCACTCATGGCTTCGAGCTTGCAATCAGGTGCACCTGTTATACAAGGAAGGCATTGTTTAATACCGAGTGTATTCCTGCTGGAATTCTCAACACACTTAATTAGCAGTGAGCTATAGGAGCCTCTTTTTCCGACATTCCTCCAGCAATTGATCAGTGTGCTGCTGAGGACCTCAATGGAAAGAAAGTAACTAATTGTATGCGATATTACGCGGAGAGGAAGTTCACTTCTTTCTTTTTGATCAATTGACCACCACAAAAAAATGCGAGACAGCTCAGTGTTGGTTGTCTGTGACGACATGCATTCAATTTAACGTTCCACAATCTTTAGAAGCATATACGTCAGTTATCATTAAGAACCTAAAAGCCTGCTGTATACTGCTAAGATTGTCAAGACAAATTCTGTAACTGAATTTCATCAATTGCAGAGAGGATGCAGGAAATGCCAATTAAGGCTGTTAGAAAAAACACAATACTATAGCTGTTCTACCAGAAACACAGTGCTTCTAGCATATCTTATTTTTTTCTTGCAAATGTCCTTTTACATTGAAATTGAAAATATCCATTGGCTCAGAAATAATTAATTTTCATCTTAAGGGAAATTAAAAATGCATGCCCTGTAGCCCAATCTCAATATTTCTACTAGGACTTAATTTGGCGCAAAACAAGATATGCTCTGGAAGCATGTTTGTTACCAAAAAGTTTGAATTAATGCACATAAATAGAGGTGTAAAGAATAAAAAAAAGAAGTGCTAAATTTGAAAACAGAAAGCAAAAAGGTTTGATTACATGCTTATAAAAGAGCTGGGTTACAAAACATGAATGTTTGTATAACAGTTCGTTTGCAGAAACCGATCTTGGGGAAAAAAAAAACACTGCTATAAAAAGGCCAGTATACCGCAGTGCCTATATTTGAACGCACTCTTGACAATAGCAAGGTGAGTCAGTTTGCAAAATATTAAATGAACAAAATTTACAATTGTAAATAAGCTGTAGAAATATAAGCAGTCGACTGCTGTTTGATTAGCAGCAGATCCAAAATAGAGACGCCGTAGAGCTGGCATTGACAGCAGCAGTGAAGCCCAGATGAGGAGCTCTGTGTGATCCTTGCTTCCACACAAGTAGGACTTGTTCATTAGAAATGAAGCATATTTAGGACATCAGGCCCCCTGTGGTTATAAGGTTTATGGAAATGTGTTTCAATGGCTGTATTTCCACACTGTATATAAACCACTTCATCATCATAATTCAGTTAAGAGTCTAGCACATAAAAATTCAAAATACATGTAAATTCAATACGAACCCCATTTTCTTTAGAATACCTCAGTTTTTCTTTTGTATTATAGCAAACAAAACCAAGGCAGGGAAAACTTACTGTCTTCAGAAAATCCACAATTCAAAATCACTGACTACAACAATGCATTAATGGGTGTCAGTGATTGTCTTTACATCCCCTATGAATATTTTTCCATAACATGCTGAAAGGATGCAAAGACAGATCTCTGTTGTTGAAGCTGTAAGCTTGAAAATGCATCTTCATGAAACAATAAGAATGATTGAAAAGAACAAAAAGACAAGCTGTAAACAGTTTCTAAAACCCACAAATCATAAAAATAATTATCATGGGGAAGTAATTTAACTAAATTATCTTTCCCTAATTACTACTAACTAAAGAAAAAATATTTATTTAAAACAATGCAGACTTCTAAAATTCACCGAAGTAAATTTCTAAAGCTAATATCTCAATATGTTAATACTTACTGTATCTTTTTAAAGTACCAATATTGATTAATATTATGTAAAACTTGTAATATTGTATATGTCATAATGACACACGCTGGTAATGGGTAATTATATATATATAAAATAACATTTTGGATTTAACCAGAATGGATTTTAAAAACCATATATGATGTTGTGATTTGGTAAACAACAATTATGTGATTAAGATGATATCGCATTTGTTTTGCAAAAAATATATCACTGTAAATTGTCTCTTTACATCACTATATTCTTGGCAATATATTTCTGTCTGTCATAACTGGTAATGCTATTAAGTGAGTAATTACACTTTGTAAATGTAATTATGATGAATCAAATTACAATGCTAGCTATTTACTTAGTTGCATTATTTCTCTAAACAGGAAGTCTGGTTAAGGCGTTTCTAGGAAAAGCATCCTATTTCTTTCAGACGGTTTACAATTATCTACTTGCTGATTAGTGAACCTCTGAGATCTCTGATATAAGATTATAGTGGAGGCTGCCATGTATTCCTTATGAATATTGTTCTTTATTGTCAGAAACAGTCACATTTCTATTTTAATCTTTTCTGGCCTCTGCTCAATTTTTTACAGGAATTGAGCAAACCTTCAATCTGAGATCTCTGTACCTAAAATTAGTAATAGGATTGTTTTATTTAGATTATGGTAATTTAGCTATTAGCCTTATCTTGTATCAAAGCGATGTAAAATTCAGACAAAGGACCTATTGTAATTTTGCATTTACAAATATATTTAGTACTACAGTATATTGGAGCGGAGCGGTGGCTAAGGATCTGCGCCTTTGGCTAGAAGGTTGCCAGTTCAAATCCCGCAGCTGGCAGAGCAATCCCACTGTGTGTCTCATGGAGAGCAAGCTGGGGTATGCAAAAAGATAATTCCTAATGCAAGAAATTTTAAAGGGTTAATAAAGTGATGTTATTATTATTATTATTATTATTATTATTATTATTATTATTATTATATTGTAGAAGAACACCTAAATAAATCTGTGCTAATTTATAGCTAAACTAGTAGCATAGAACTATTGCTTCACGATGTTGCTAAGCAACATACAGGATTTTCATCAAACTTCTTGAGGTCTCGGTGAACAATTTCTGAAGAATTATGTAAACTTTTCTTTGTTCTAAAAGTGTTTGCTGATCATGAGAAATGGGTGAAAATGTATTCTAGATCATAGCTGCAGAGAACATTAGTAACAATTTTGTGTAATCTCACACACTTAAATGCCCAGGAAAAGTAATTGTTGTTAAATATACTTAGATTACTTACACTACAGTGCACGTGAATGGATTACTGGTGAAATACAGTTTGTGGGATAAATTGTATAATTGTATTAAACATAATTACTGTATATGCACAGTTGGTTATTTTAGATATTTTATGATATGGAATATGATATGGAATAACACAAATCTAACATTTGCAGAATCCTATTATATAACGATCATAACTAAAAACTAAATAATACAAGATGACTATGGTTTTAGCAGCAATATATAATGAAGTGTTTTTGGAACAACTGAATTCCGTCCATTGATTAAAGAATAAACAGTAACTTTGAAGACTGTTTCAAGATAAGCCCTGCATTCTAATTGAGAGAAGATTCTAATGAATGACTTTGCAAAGCTAAATGAGATGCGATTTTATAACTACTCATTAATTAGAATTCATCAATTTGAAACCACTTGCTTTCCACGTCTCACTCAGAGTATTTGGTAACATCATGAAGGCAACTCATGAAGTAAGCCTATTCCTTCATCACCCTTCACTGAATGTTGATTAAGCAATAAAGCCTTAAAAAGCACAGCGAGGCTGGTGGCTGATGAATAACATGCAACATATCTTGCTTTTCTGTATGAATTCTCCTGTCAGTTAATTTTGGAACTCATAACAGTGTTGACTGTTTATATACTGCATGCAATGTTAATTAAAAACATATCATATATTGTACCTATTAATCAAAAATCCAGATTTTCTAGATTAAGATTTTATCTACTGTACTGTATGTAGTGTGAGAGGACTGTTTCACTGATAATAATATGGATTAAGACAATAGCGTATCTAAGAAGGGAAAGCCCAGATGTGTACGTATTATTTAGAATTATAATTCTATAAGCGTTATGAGATTATTCCAAACCGTAACACTAAGACATTTTTTTCATGGCTAAACTTCTACATCACCTCAAAAATAAATCATTGAAATAACTCAAAAGTACCTTTGACAGCATTGTATGCATGTTTTGAGAAAATAAAATCTGAATTAATGGGAACGCATAGGCTGTCAGTGCTATGGTAATGAAAGTGCTACATTAAAATGTAAGACCCTGATTCCAGTGTTCTGATAGTTTGTAAAAAAGCAGAGATTCAAAATGGAACCTCTACTACAGTAACATATTTTCTGTCTTAAAATAACTGTCACCGAGGTGGACAGAAAATATTCTCTTGACACACAATGGAACCCAGATGTGAGAGAATATGACGGGTAGTTTTTGCTATAGAAACAGACAGCCCCAAGACAGAGGGAAAGACAGGCAGCTTAACCTGTAGGTGCCAGTATCTGTGAAAACAGCTTGTAGGGAGTTCCATTCAGTAGGACATTGTTTGAACCGGAGTAGCTTTTCATTATCAGCCGATTTCAGATGCAAGTGGGATTTCTAACACCCAGAGATAGAGCCCGCAAAAGAGATAGCCACCAGTGGTTTGCAGAAAGCAACAATTCATGTGCCCATTGTCACACAGGCTTGTCTGCATCTGGAAAAGCTCCAAAAGAAGCTTAGTATAACATCATTTGGAATGCATGGTGTCAACTGTTAGCGGGAGAGGGAGTCTCTGTGGTGTTTTGCGGAGTGCTCTTTTGGCCTGGTCAGAATACACCGAGCAGTAAAAGACTGCTGCACACAGAGGATCTCTATGCCTGCCCAACAGCGATTCAGTTTTACTCCTGAGTCTTCCACCTTTCATTATGCACTTGAACACAATTCTAAATGTGTGAAAGGGAAAATATAATGGGTGGATTTTCCCATGTCCTTTCATTAAGATGTGGTGAAGATGCTCTTTTTATTCTGTCTGAATGTGCCACAGTAAATACTAATTAGCGTAAGCCTAAAATATTATTTATATTGAAAATAAAAGTGAGCACGTAAAGCAGTTACACTTAGGATGAAAGGATCAGAATGTCATGAATTTACGCATGATATTCGAATTTATAACATTTAACACTTCAACACCATTACTTTGTAATAGTTATTTACCTAT